GATTGTAACAATCAACCCGAGGAACTCGACTTCTGTCTGTTCGAAGCTACACTTTTCAGGCTTCAGATACAGATCATTTTCTTTTAGTCGTTTCAGTACCTCTCGTACAACTTTTCGGTGTTGCTCCCTATTGCCATTCGTGAACACGAGGATATCATCGATATAGACAACTACGGTCTTTCCATCAATTAAATCTCTGAATATCTCGTTCATCATGGTTTGAAACGTGGCAGGGGAGTTTGTTAAACCGAAGTACATCACGGTTGGTTCATGGTGACCAAACGGCGTTTTGAAGGCCGCCTTCCACTCGTCTCCTTCTTTCATGCGAATATTATTGTACCCCCATCTTACATCCATCTTGGAGTACATCGTGGCACCGGTTAAAGCATCAATCAAATCTTGAGATCTCGGTAGCGGGTATGCATTTTTAACCGTCTTCTCATTGAGCTTTCTATAGTCCATCACCGGTCTTAACTTGCCATCTTTTTTGGCCACAAAGAAGAAAGGTGCTGCCACTGGAGATTGTGAATTTCTTATACGTCCCAGTGCAGTCTCGGCTTTTAACCAATCTTTCAAAGTGTCCATCTCCTTGGGTGATAAGGGATAGGGTTTCGCATTCGGCGGAAGATCGCCATCATCTTTAAGATCTATCGCATGATCCCATTTCTTTCTTTCAGGGAAGCGCTTAGATTCTTCTTCTGAGAAAACTCCCAGGTACTCGTGAAGCCAATCGGGAACCATCTCTTCGACCGATTTCTTCACCTTCGTTGCTTCTTCTGCAACCTTCTGTTCCGTGGCAACCGAGGCTTTATACTTGATCCATTCTCCAGGATACTCTTCGTCTTCTATTTCCTCAACTGTCGCCCTCTTCATCGCCATGTCTTCTTCGTCATCCTCTTCTGTGGGAATCAGGTCTGGCACTTCTTCTATCTTTTTTTGTTCTTTTCTTTTTTCTTTATTTTTTTGTCTTTGTTCTTTTTTAGTAATACATTTAACTGGGCAACGAGAAAGTGCAAAACGTCCAGCGTTCCAATCTATTTCCGGGTTGTGGTATCTTAGCCAATCTATGCCAATAATAACATCATCGCTTCCTAAGTCCGTAACCATGAAGGCTGCTTGATCCTCAACATGGTCACCGATCTTTAGACCTAATTCAGCGTAATGAGTCATCGATCCAGCGGCATTTAACGAGCCATCGATATTTTTAACCGGAATGGGCCTTAATAATTTATGGCACCGGACTTCATTCTTTTTCACAAACTTCTCGCTAATAAATAATGTTGATGCACCGCAATCTACCAGTGCTTTCACATCTGCTTGTCGGTTCTTTCCCTTCAACGTGATCGGAATGTAAAAATGCTCAGATTTGGATTTAATATATACTTCTGATACATCCGAGAACGTAGATAGGATGGAGAAACGATTGTTCGGGTCTAAGTTCGCAGACTTTGACTTCGACCCTTCTAAAAACCCTTGCCTTCCTTGGAGCTGACCCAGGTTTTGAACCAACTCGGAATGGGGTCTTCTTCTTTTGGCACTGTAGTAGCCTTCACCTGCACCTTTGGTGCGACTGCGTCTTTGCAGTTTCTTGCCATATGGCCTTCGCCTCCACAGCGGTAACATTTGAAGGATCCAGTCCTTCCTTGAGGTTTTGGAGCACCTCGCTGCTTGTTGGCGTCGACGTCCATAGCGTCGCTTTCCCTGCTCGGACCAGGTTTGTATTCAGGGGTCCTGGGGCCTTGTTTAGGGGTCCACCAGGTCGTCTTCTTCTTGTCCGCATCTAGCTCCTCGAAGTTGCGTCCGATTTGGATCGCATGTTCCACCAGTTTCTTCATGGTGTTTTTGTCCTCGTAACGGACATGAGCGAGCTGTATTTTGACACGGTCTTGAAGTCCCAGCCTGAACTTCTGCCTCTGGTCGTAATCGGAAAATGAAGTGTGTGCGGCCTTTTGTCTGAAAGCGGCCGCGTACTCTGGAACTGAGGAAGATCCTTGTCTAAGGGATTCCAGTTCTCGGATCGCTTTTCCTTCGCGATCTTCTTGCCCCCACATGGCTTCTAGGTCTTCCAGGAATTTCTCCACAGTCAACCTCTCATCTCCGGTCTTTCCAAGTTTACTAATGTAGGGTTGCGCCCATTTGGCTGCAGTACCTTTCATGAAGGAGAGCATTACTCCTATTCTTTGGCCTTCCTGAATGTTGGGCCATTGCGCCGTGTATAGTGCAACTTGGGAAATCCAGACCATGAGTTCTATGGAGTCTTTTTCTCCAGTGAAGTCTTGGGGTTTGGAGTATTTGATGGAGGGGGAAGAGTTCGATGAAAGTAGGCTAGCTCCTGCAGAGCCGAATGATGGTTGTTGTGACTGTATTTTCACAGTCTCGTCTTCTTGCATTTCTAGGCGTACGCCCAGGAGTCTGTTTGCTTCTTCTAGAGCTAAGTTTTTGGCTTCTAGTTCCGCTATTCTGACCCTGAAGCTGTCCGCTTGATTCGCAAGTGACATGTGAATGTAGTCGACAATCTCCTGTGGACTAGATGGTAATATCACCGTCTGTGCAGGTTGCGTGGGAGAGTTTGGTAACTCAGACATAGTGCCAGTTGTATTCTGGAACCCGATTCACTGATGTCTGTTGAAGAGCTGCTCGTAAGGGCTCTTCCGAAAGGGAATGATGGTGAAAAGATGAAAGTTATGTAATGGAAAACTGAAGCGGTCCCCGATATCTGATCGGATCTACCACGTACTTCAGGATCGAAGGGTTCTTTAATCAACCCAACCGATGCTTCCCTAATACTAACTAAGAAGGATACGTAACTATACTCGATCGAGTGGGAAAAACTAGGGACAATGCAATCTCCGTTCTGAGGGTACAAGCCTAGGACAAGTTATCACTCTTCCAGCCGAAGCTTACAAGTGCGAGTCTCACTAGGGTATGTCGCTAAATCCTCGTAGGTCGAAAGCACGGTTTGTCGTCTAGACAGTTCCGCTATTGACTCGAAACGAATGCCTACGTGCGTATGAAGAAAGGAATAGGTAAAATGAAACTATAGTAACGTTGAGCAGGCAGGGTTTTGGGCCAGCACTCAAAGTTGCAGTGACACGCCTAATGTCGTGAACACCTCCGTATACTGGCGGCTGCGGTAAGACAGGGCCTGGTATAGGACTACTAACTACGAAAGATGATAGGTATGAAAATGCGCTCAAATGAGCAAAGGGATGAAACAAGGGATCGCGGCGGTTAAGCCGGGCAAAAGTATAACGGTTCTGTTTCGGCTAATGGTGTGGTGACTACCAACACGACCAGGCGAAAGAGAAAGAGATGCGAGAGTGTAACGCGAGAGTCGGAGTCTCCTATAGTTCAAACCTAATGTCACAACCCAATAACGAATTAACGCTGGGCAGAGACTAGGACTCAAACAAAGAATAATCACGCAGAGGAAGTAGGCAGCAGGTACGTCTTGGTATTGCTCACTTGGAGATACAAGAGGTTTGAACTAAAGAACTACTGACTACGACGAGCTACCTATATACACATATTGAAACTGAGATCGAAACTGAGTATGAACTAACTAACCAATCAGAATAATTAAAGGTATCGTACGATTCTATATATAACTATGATGTCATAACATGTGCCGCAGCCGCAGTAAGACTCTGGAACATTCCAAGAGTGTCGCGAGGCATGACGTCAACATCTTCGGCTTTGTCCGATAGATCACGTGACTCTGGTAATTCTACAATAGACGCAATAATAGGAACTTCTTCAACAGTAAATACTTTCTTAGGAACAGGCGCTGTGACTGGGCGCTTAAAGGACTTAGAATTAAGGAACGAATAATGATTTGTATTTGGAACTCGTGACAGGACGATGTGTATAGTGTATTGATAACAGCTGGCGTTAGGGTTGGACGAATACAGCTATAATTTGAGCTCCGACGTCTGGGACACTTCAAGCCGAGAAGCCTCACCTGACATTTGCCAAACCTCAGTCAACATCTCGTTGCCGAACTGGCTCTAAATGTCTCAGTTATGTATGTAATCAATTCCCGCGACACGTCCATTGACAGAAAAATGAAGCATGTTTGCGTCTGACAAAACTAGTGTTGCCGCAAGTCGACGCGGTGTGATGCGGTGCTAGCGAACTCGAACAAGTAAACGATTCGAGTTGTATCAAGTTACACACCAGTGCAACTAGCGAGTTCGGATGTTGTTCGGGAATTAAGTCCACCAATCAACGGGCTCAGATCTATCTCTTTCTGGTTTAGCAAGTCAAATTTATTGGCGCATAAATAGTTATATTTGGCAGAAACAGAATTATATACTTCTACAGTCATGACTCATCATGGCTACAATATCGTGAACGCTTGATGAGAAGGCTCGCTCGCACGGCACGGAGGAAGCCGGTATGGGTAAGATGTCGAGGGCGACTTTGTATGAGAGTGGATATACTTGTTCTGCATCCTAATCACAATTAGCGCCATGTGTGAAAACAATGAGTGCGAGACTTATGGGCATGTACATGGTAGTACAAAACTCATGTGTAAAAAAGTGGAAATTTTTTGATTTTTTATGGACCGACGAAGTAAGTAGGGCAGACATATTGACAAGGTATAACAGCGAGGTGTAAAGCACTGGAGAAGTGCTCAAGATTGCATGAAATACTCGAGCTACAGTCGGCAAGATTATAGAGACTTACAGTAACATTGATAAGATACCAGGGAAGCTTATGGGAAAGTCTTCTCGATATGTCAATCACCAACTCGCAGTGCAACTCGATGTTTACACCGCATGGGGCAGTTGCCACGAGTTGCGTAAATTTCCGAGTCGAGTCGATGCTAACTCGATTCCAACTCACACCGGCGGCAACACTAGACAAAACCCTTCTCCCACTTCGTGGGAGTCGGGGACTTACTTCGGCGATGTCCGGCGTGTCCGTTGTCAGTCCATCTTCAAGCTAAGTGTAGTGCCCGATACATATTGAGCCGAGCCCTGCCACTACTCAATAAAATGCCCGCGAAGACCGTGGTTTCGTCTTCCACAGATAAGGCTCAACATGGGTTCTTCCCGTACGCAAGGTACACCTCCGTCGTGGGCGTGCACACCAGCCTTGTAGCATTCACAGCCCTCTTCCTACCCCAGACATCTCTTTTACTCTGGCCATCGCTCGCAGACCCCGACCGTCCAGAAACCCAATTTAAAGACGCACTGACAAATAACCCAGTCATCACACTCGCTTGGATCGTCGCAGGGCTGGTAGTCCTTCAAGTATGGTGGGCGGGCTGGATCAGGCATTGGTGTTTCGAGTATACTTCTCGTGCTGTTTCGAGCGATCAGATGAAAGTGGATAGGTATCAGTTCAATCGGGGGAGATTCTCGGTGTGTCTCCTTCCTCGCGACTCGTATTTCTCATATTCTCTTAGAAATTAGGGAGAGTGGCTGTCTTCACTTCGTGTGTAGCCTTGGTGTTCCACGCAACTATAATATTGTTCGGTGCTCCTTCTGCAAGGTAACAATTGACGCATCCCACGAGATTTGTGCTGATTGTATATATATGGAAAGCCACCTCCCTCATACATTCTTGCTGGCGATCGTTCTGGCACTACTATCCGTATTCGCACCAGCTTATGCACTGGGTTACCCCTCGTTCTCTTCCGACACTTCGTCGTTCATCACCAGACTTAACTGGACACGTTTATTCGCCGAGCTTTCGTGGGTTAATATGTATACCGTTTTACTCTTTGTCTGACATTGTGCTAGTCCACGAAATCCGATAGAAAGAGCTCTGGTTTATCCCGCTGTCGCGACTCTCTTTGGCGCTTGGCTCGGTGCTTTTCCAATCGCACTGGACTGGGATCGACCATGGCAGGTCAGTCCTAGCATCGTTTATCGAGGCTTGAGCTTATGATACCTAGGCCTGGCCGCTAACGCCTCTCTTTGGAGGGATCACAGGCTATATAGTCGGATCTCTCTCAGCACTTTCCGTCAGCGCACTAAAATGGCTGGCCGAGGAGAATATCAGAAGAGAACAATCGGAGAAACAGAAAACCACCTGAAGCACCGATTGCGATTTTAGTTCCTTATTTAAATCGAGTTCTAGATACCTATAAATCACTCTTACTGATGCCCTTCTATGCGTGTATGTATGAGGTCGGCCTCCCTCAGGATTTGCTTCTATCTCGTATATCTCGTTTCGTGTGTGCCGGATCACCATCTAGCATTTTTTTCGCAGATTCCTGCACAGATAGCAGTGATAATTGTAAAGGTTCTGGTGATATTGGAAAGATTTTGGGCAAGTATTCGTCGTGTTCTGGCCGCGTGTCCACGAAGAAGAGGTGCCCATCGGTGATGATATTAAAGGTGAACAGAGAACACTGTTCTCGGACAGTTGTCATCAAACCTGAACCATGCTTGAGCTTTGTCTCTCGGGATCTGTAGACGCTCTGAGAATGCTCATGATACTTAGATCTGGTCACCAACGCCTCTGTTTGGAGGAATCGCTGGCTATATAGTCGGCTCTTTCCATCACCATACTTGGGTGGCTAGCAGGTAAGGAGAACATCAGCACATGACAATCGGAGAAGGAGAGGACCACCTGAGGCGCTGATTCCAATTCCAATTCTAGTTCCTTCTATTCAAATCGTTTCCAAGATATCTACATCTCCCTTGCGGGACCAGCCCTTCTACGTGGGTATTTATGAGGAAGACTAAACCTATTGTCCGTCGACAACACGAAGGTCTCCGATAGACTGAGTGACGTAGTCGGGTACTATTGGTGAAGCGTTTGGGCCGGTAATATCTTGCTTCGACGTGATGCCTACAAAGCACAGCGTTCATTACAAGGACTGATCGTTGAATTCGGAAACGCACCAGTCAGGACAAGGAGCGTTGCCAGGCTCCCAGCTTGTCCAAACAAAATATCAGTATTCAACCGATCTCCAATCATTATCGTGCGTTCCGGATCGAATTTCACCCTATCATAACGCAGTATTATTATCATCTCCCGACAACCAAACACACCAGCTAAGACGGAGACACGTACTTGGCTTGAATACAATCCAACATTGTCTTCGCAGGTTTCCCAATACTTATCGGATCTTTCTCCAGTGCATAACGTAATGGAGCGCTGATAGCTCCTGCTCCAGGCAAGAGACCATCGGCGCTTGGGAATGTGCTGTCTTCATTGGTGACTAGGAATTGACAGCCGGGGTTTCGTGTGAGGTATTGGAATGCTTTTGACAGTTTCGTATAGTTCACGCTGAGGTCTAGGCCGCAGAGGACGGCTTGAACGTCTGGGTCAAGGGAGAAAGATGAGAGGGAGAATGGTTCGAGGGTGCAATCTGCTGGGTCCTGAGTGTGTGCGCGCGCGAGTCAGTGCGTGAGTGAGTGAGTGAGTGAGTGAGTTTGGGTAATGAGCGGTGGGCTGGAGTAGGATCAGGGAAGGGGTATCAACATACCGTTCCACCAATGAAAGAAACGCCTTCTTCCCTCAGCTCCTCCTCAATACCTGCCATCCCAATCACATACACCTTTTTATCCTTTGGAAGTTTCATGACTGAGGATATGTAAACAGCAGAAGCATATGCTGAACCGTATATCTCTTCCTACAACCCATCGCATCGCAACAATCAGGAAATGACCACTGGATCTATCAAGACCCAACACGAACGAAACACCCACCACACTTGCTTGCACACCCAAGAGATCAAATTTCGTCTTATAACTCTTCCTCGACTTGCTAGCGTTATTGGTGACGAAAAGAATTCGCTTTCCTTCATAACGATCGGTATCAAAAGATCGCCATCATTGTCATTTTCAATACTAAATATTATGCGACTTGGCACGCACCTCGCTTCCGGAGGATCTCCAAAACCTCTACAGCCCCTTCGATCAACCGATCGCCATGCCATAATACGCCGTCGCAGTCGAACATCCATGTGTCATATCTGTCGATTAGGAGGGAGTATTCTGGGCGGGTTGTGAGGTGGGCAGGCATGATGAATGTTAGGCGTGGAAGAGGGTGAGAGTCAGGGATTCTGTGCTGGAACTAGCTGAGTGAGATCTCACGCGCGTGACTTGCTCAAGACTAGATTTGCCTTTTCGAGACCGGGAGCAGGCGGACCCCTTGCAGTGCATGATGGGTGGACGACTCAGAGTCTGACAGTACGACATCCCGCTAGCATGATGGTCGTCAGAAGTCACGGCTCGGCATTTTCCAACGTCTCTTCGTCTCCCACACCTTTCATCCTGCAAACATCTAACAAGGCTCGCGACTCTTCTAGCCAATACTCTTGTTGACACTCAGCCCTTCGTTTTCATGATAGAGGGGAGATGCATGATTTGTGATATGCGATCTCGAAAACGATATACCTGAAGGGGAAAGTTGGGAATGGTAGGAAGACGACTTACTTTTATTACGTCCTACTAAGCACTATTTTACGCTTACTAAGTACTGACTTATAGCAATAATAGCATGGACGCACTGAGTCCAATGCCGATCATATAGACACGATATACTTGCGTGAAGAAATGCTGTCTTTCAATAATGTGGGGGCAGAACTGGCAAAACTCTACCAAAGCTATGTAGCCTCTACGGTCAGCTTCCTCACATAAAAATTGACCCTGACCACTTTTACACGCATGCTAGTGGAGCCTGTGGAGGTGTATGTACGAGACAACTTTGACTCTGCCTCTGCCTCTCGGATTGTATTATAAGATCGGCAGAAGCAGCTGGCGTTGGTAGTTCTTACTCGTCAACTGTTCGAGCAAGCTCGGTTCTAAGATGCGATCCTCCATTTCAAAGGTGTGAATTGACATTGCCGCGTGTGTCGGCAGCTCATCGAATGAAGAATAGTGCATGGCATTATACTATAGAGTGTACACGTGAATAAGTCTGGTTTGTGAGTATGGAAATTGCTTAACAGCGAAGCAGTATTAAAAGAAGATCTGCCGTTGAGCCTAGAGAATCTTGTCCGTGCGAAAATAAGTATTGAGGGTATACAAATTGCTGGAGGGATTATATCTCGTTGAAACGCTGAATCAGCATTTGAAGAAGATTGGTGTTAAGCCTAAGCAGGAATCTTCATGAAAGACGCGAAATACGCGTCAAGGACCTCAGCGCGATCCAGCGGCGCGATAGCTCCAACATAGCCATCAGGGCGAACAGCAACAAGCGCTCCCTCAGATCCCACTCCAAAATATGAGTAACCTTCTCCCCCAAAGTTAGCAGTGGGATCGGTATCATCGACAAATACCCTAAGAGCACCTCGATCAATATCATCCCACTTGACACAGATGAGGAAGCACTCACTTTGACCAATGAGGGCGAAGAAGCGCAGGGAGCCGCAAGAGATTGAACTCATCCTTCCGGCCCTTGCTGATCGTGATGATGTCAAATCGCGAGCTCCCAGGCGTCACGTAACGGTTCAGGAAGCTCTCGGGTTTCTGCATGTCCGCGACCATCGACTCGACCCTCGCTTGCTGAAGCGGATCGCTGAATTTACCGGTAAACACAAGTAACTTGAAGAGGGAGTCTGAAGGAAGCAGGTCCTGGAGCTCGAATGGTCGTCCGTCCGCTGCCCGCATAAATTTGTATGGAGGGACGCGTTTGCCGAGGACGAGACCACCAGCCAGCTCCTGGTATGTGTCATTTACTACAATCGAGGGGTGATAATGTATCCCAATTCCACTGGTGAAATCTGTTTGGAAAGTCCTACAAACTCACGGGATTAGTAACAGGAAAAGACTGTTGGTAAAGTAATGTTACTTCAAGAGCTGCTCGGGCGAAACCCCACCGCTGTTCTGTCCGGTCAAGGGCTTGCCACAGACAAGGGTAGACCACGTTTTATCAAACGCGATCAGTTCTGATGTAAATTTACGGCGCTCTGATTCGTACTATCGGCGGGACGTGAGCAAGCACACAAATAGCCGCACAAGAGCGAGCTTGCCGTCGATAAAAGGGACATGTTTGCCCACCCACGAACAACTTGGGCAATTTTCCAAGCTGAGAAAGTGATTTAGCCCGATCGTAAGAACGGGAACGGAAGACATACCCAGATTATGACTATCGTTTATACTCGCGTTCATTCCTTGTCCTGGAGGTTCCACTGTAACCAGACCGGGGGAAGGGGCCAAATTCAAGATACTTACCTGCTTTCGGAGTGTGTGTGTGGCAAGCATCGCCAGCAATAAACACTCGATTGTTGATGGAAAACTTCGAGGCCACTCGTTGTCCAACTTGAGTAAAGATGTTAAACGAACACGAATGCATAGCAAGTAGAAAGGTGCGTACCGCTATATATCGTCCACCACAAAAATTCACCCTCCCGATTAAGCTTGAAAGGTTCGAGCGATTTCTGGGCGGTCTAAGGGAAATATTGATGACTGCCGACTATAGTATGGTAATGGACACCGCTTACTTTAAAAATCTGATCTGGACCCATTCTATCCTTGTCTACCCTGCCTGTCACTGGATCGATGACATCTTTCTCTTCCAGTTGCACATATAAGCGAATGAGATCCTTTTCTCGAGGAATGACAAAAAGTGAGCCATGGTTGGATTGTGCAAGGCACTTATTCCTGATATCCGGGAAGTCAGTGTCAGGAACAAGGTCCATGACACCCCAGATGGAATCTATCGATCGAGAGTGAGCGTGTTGAAAATTCAAAGTGATAAACATTCTCACCAGACTGTTCTCCATCCATCGTGATATCGAATTGTTTGCGGGTCCACGAGTGAGCACCTACCAAGGTAAATGATTATATTGGTGAGAGGAACGTTTTCAGAGCGTACCATCACCACCAAGAACAAATTTAGCGTGAACAATCTCTTCTGGTTGTGCACCCTCGGATTCGTCAAATCTTTGGAGCACAACGCGGACTGGATATGATGTAGGATCCGCCAATTCGTCTTCATCCTTAGAGAGCTCTATCGAAGTTGGCATGGTTGATCGTTCGACCTCAACACCAAGCGATGTCATGGAATCTAGGAAAATATCTTGAATGGCTGCTTGATTGAGCGTAGCCTTGATCTCATTCAGCTGATATAATTCCTGTCAGATTCATGAACACACCTCGAATGGGTATCTTGCAGACGGAGCTGTCACATTTAATGTTCTGTTGGTAAGCTAATGGCGGAAACTCAGTGAGCATCCTTCGTCGATAGCGAAATTCACGAACCTCTATACCGCCGGTAGAAGAAGGGTTGTAGAATGCCTAAGATGTAATGAGCTACAACATATCCTGCAAGCCCGTCTTAAAAGGTGTACCGCTAGATGGATTTGGCAACACTCCTTCAGAAGGCGCTCTGCAAGTCCATAACTCTATTTCCGGCTTGGTAATACCGAGTCTTAGTCAGTCAGCAAAGAAGCATCTTCACCTGCAAAAGTTCAATAGTGCGAGGTGAAATTCCATCACCATTTCCAGCGGCTATTCTGGAGGCCCTAACGGAACGTTGAGTTAAAAGCAGGAATGGAAGGGTCGACCCACTGACCTTTGGTCGACGATGCGAACATTCACACTCGCATTTGCGAGGGCATTCGCGCACATGAGGCCAGCAGGGCCAGCGCCAATAATGAGAACATCGACTTCAGAGTGACCTACGAATGGAACGGCCTGCATTGAGAAAGAACTATAACTTAGTAATGGAAGTGGAGGAATGCGTCTTGATACAGGGGATGCAGGTCTACAATCCTCAAGAGAGCGTTCTTAAAGATGCTAGAGTGGTAGAATAAATAGATATCAGTCATGCCCACAGTAGTGTCCCTGGAGCCATGTTAGCTACCAGACCGAATCGATCAAAGCTAGTATTTGTTGAGGTTGATTTAGACACGGATGATACCAGTGCTGATCTAGATTGCAATGATGCATTATTCTGCAAACGGCCGTCGTGATTTGGTGGTGTCACGGTGACCTGGGACTAGGAATCTTTAAGTTTGTAAGGTACTGACCCTAGATGGAGCCAACCGAATTTCTTGAAAATCAGGAACACTAGTTACATGGTCAAATAAAGTTACTTGGGCTGCTGGATTGTCAACATAGTTATGTCAAACGATATAAATTTAAATTTGGCTCACTACCTAAACAATTTTGAACTGGCTGACCACGTACGTCAAGCTTTGGCGATTCAAATTTGTGGCTTATGTCATTGTTTGGCTTGACTAACAACCACCGTGCTGATAGGCTTGTGTATACATAGTGTCGGAACAGTGTACCCATCAGTGCGCGCATGCTGTGGACAATCCAAGTGAGTTGACATGACCACCCGAATTACCTTGATTTTTCCGGCGGTCTTCACAGCTAATAGGGATTCTAACTGAAGGTTTCAAGTTATAGGGCGCAGGTTCGCATCCAAGACTTATCGAAGTGCGCCACCAGAAACCGATAGATCGCTTCGTTGGTAAAGGAATACGCGTAATTAATACTGCGCGGAACTACAGCGATGGCAACCCCCGGAGGAAGTATGTTCTTTGTTCTTATCTATCCACGAGGCACTCGTCTGAGAGATGCAGTACATTGGACAACTGCACATCAAGGGTGTCACAGTAGACACCAAGTCGGTTAGTCAGTCACCTTTTTGACTATAGTAGTTTCGGGATGGATACTCACACTGGTGTTTCACAGGGCTGCCGTTTAGATACCGAGCAGTCATTCTCCTCAGAGACGCTGCAACCCTCTTTGACAGTCCTTGCTCCGCATGAGATCCGCGTGTTTTTCCATCATGTGTCCGACCCGAGCGCATCTTATGATGAGATGCTTCTAGGTGTAAATGAACTGTATCAGGAAGACTTTTCGTATGTCGCTCTAATTTTAAACGCTGTCCTAGGTCAATCAACGGAACATGCCAGCGAAGAATTCAATTGGCCTGAGTAATTTTTGCAGTCGGGAGGCAAGTGGGCTGTGCCGCCACTGATGTTGAACTTGTCTAATTTAGTCCTGGAACCAGTGGCAGAGATGGTAACAAGTGGCTTCAGGGTCACTAATTTGACTGTGAATTCACGTCATTATCGATGGTCGTGTGATCCGAGTCAGAGCTTGAAACATGCACCAGTCAGCCATATATGCTAATCTTTACACATTGCGTACCGTACATATACATATGAGCAATAGTTTGATCATCTGATGGGCCATGATGTCTGATACAGAGTTATTCTTGCCTTGCTTTTAGCAGGGCTCTGAGACGGAATGGATCAGAGAGAAGAACGATACCAAAGCCAGCTAGTCGATAACTGCGAGTCCGGCATAACCGAGACCACCGTAGAATGCAACTTACTAGCTGTCTATGGCAGAAACTCCAGCCTTATATGTGAAGACGGCGGGTCTGAAGGGCCTGAGCATCCTAGCTCTTGTCGAACGCGATATCTCGCACCGCGCACCTACTAGATTGTTTTAAATCCACGTGTTTGATGCAACGGCAAGCATGCGAGTCCGGACACTTGTCTGGAATTGTTACATACAGGCAATGCTTCTGCTGGACCGCGAATACTGTGGATAAGAAACAATATCATGTGCCATATATAAGCAGATCACATACGAAGACCGAGTCCACCACCCACTTCACCCACGTAGTTACTAGTAGGCACTATTGCTTTCCTCATGGTCAAGCAAGTCCTGGTGGTTCTGATTCGAGTGCAGGGAGGTACTAACTGCTCGATTGGATGCGATGGAATACAATTTCATTCAACTGATATAGTTTCCGTGCAATTTATAAACGCACCTCGAATGGGTATCTTGCGGATGGAGCTGTCGCGGTTGAAGTTCTGTTGGTAAGCTAATGGTGGAACTAAGATGCCATCAGTCATACATCCAGCAAGCTTGTCTCGAAAGGCGTACGACTAGATCGACTTGGCGAGACACCTTTGGAAGGATGATTATATATCCAGCTTGTTGATACCGAGTTTCGGTCGGTCAGTAAGGAACCTGCAGAAGTTCAATAGTGCGGGGTGAAAGTCCATCATGGACTAGTTACTTTGAAGGCTCTAGCGCAAAGTCGAGTTAAAAGTAGGAATAGAAGGGGTCAAAACACTAACCTTTGGTCGACGATGCGGACATTAACTCTCGCATTTGCCAGGGCCAGCGGCAATATTGAGAACGTCGACTTCAAAGTGGCATACGAACGAAACAGGTATCGCGAAAGAGCTATAACTTAACAATGGGGAAATGTAGAGGAGTGCGTCTTGATACAGGAGATGCAGGTCCACAATTTTCAAGAGAGCATTCTTAAGGAACACATAGTGGTAGAATATATAGAAATCAGTCGCGCCCACTGTCGCTGGAGCCATGTTAGCTACCTGCGAGTAAGACCGAATTGATCAAAACCAGTAATTGCTGCGGTTGATCTAGATACAGATCTTGTATACTAGTGATCTAGATAGCAATAATGCATTGCTCTGCAGATCAGCATTATGATGCGGTGATGTGATTGTGATCTGGGTGTCTTTGAGTTTGATAGACGTACAATCTTTATAAGGTGTTTGATTGCACTAACCATGAATGTGGAGCGGGGTAGAGCTACTAGTCAAATGAGCCTAGTTTGTATGTAAGTCCCAATTGATGCTATGCCCGCACTCGGGACTTCGGAAATTTTGTCCTGGTGAACATGACCTGACAGTACCGTGACCGGCGAAACGCGCTAAATAAACACTCGATTGCGAGCCATTTGAATGGCAGCTTGAAGCAGCAGTTGAAATCTTGGAGGAAAATGATGTGGTACTGCCAGCGGGGGTGGCAAGACTATTTGCTTCTACCTCGTCTCCCTCCCGCTCTTAGTTGATAAGATGGAGATTATTGCCGTGGTTGTGTCACCAGGTGGTGTTCAGGTTGATGTTTTCATTGTGTTTGAATAGAGACAATCTTGATGATGAACGCGATGTGTCGCGTTCTATGCGAGACGTGTTGTTCACACGTATATCGATTAGGGCAAAGTCGGAGATTGAATTGTAATTACTGCCACTGGTCGGCGGTCGCCTTACACTGTATACTACCCACACGCTGTTGGTTTCGAAGGCGAGGGCGCGCGGCGAGAACAAGAACTAGAACAGCAATATATACTCTCAGTATCCTGGAGGAAGACTCTAGACACTAATAGTACCTAGAACAGGAATATAATTCCCCTTACCACTTGGTTTAAGCGTGGGTGCTTCGTTCGGGATCGTTCCAGTAGTGATACGACAAGAAAATAGCTTCGCCTAGACCTTTTAAATATACCTCGAAACCCTATATGTCAAATAAAAACCACGACGGATCCTCGATCGAATTTCTCCTCCCTGCAGACCACTCGGCAAGTATTTCCCTACACAGTACTGCTAGTTGATACATGTACACGCTCCTGGAAAACAATCGAATTCATGCTAGTTTCTGCATCGGAGTATGCCACGAGTTTGGCGTGGTATTCTCGAACGCTAAGAATGAGGCGTGGTCCCAGCACAAACATCTGCACGGCCGATAAAATTTGAAGAGTATCACCGAGTATCCGAGTTCCAATAGAAATCGAATTCTACAGAAATGATGAGCAGTGGTTACACGCAGATATCAGCAACAGGTCAGCGCACCGCGATTTCTAGAGAGAGATAAGCAAGCTGGAGGCAAGATCCACCAGCAAAGCTGACATGTGCGGAACTTCAGCAAAAAAATATAACTGCGTTCACATTACAAGCTCACCTTGAAAAATAAAGAACGTGAGATTGTATCAGCACTCTGAAACAGTCCCCGATGGTCTATCCTGTAGATGGGCCGAGTCGTCGCAGCTCACGGAAGCGTTTTACAGCAATCCAGACTGAAAGATACAGTGCGAGGACCTCCCAGACAGTGTTTAGTATCCAAATGATTGAAAACAGAAGCTGCTTGTCCCAATCAATTTCATAATTGTACATGTATATGCTAGAGAGTATCAACTCCTCTGGTGTTTGTCCAATGGGCCGTGTTCTTCAAGTCAACGAGTAAAGCTTACCTGCTACAGTATCGTTGATTGCTATTGCCGCAATTACTCCGCAGGCGATGTTTACAGCCAGGGAGATAGTAACAAGGAACATAAGCATCTTTCTAGATCCCTGATACATGGCATGCAACCGAGCAATCATGATGACTTGCATCATGTGTCAGTCAGGTCAACATCACAGAGGTATTGCACCTGGGTAACTTACCGCACAACATCGCAGTCAAGGCTACATTTGTCCCATTCAGTGCGTAGTCCGTAATAGTGCCTAAAACTCCCAATTAGTGAACGCCCTCGCACTAGTATCAAAGACTCCGACTTACACCTGTCGAGTCATTATGTTGCGCCAAGTTCGATGATTGGAATCTCACTCACCCCTACACATGAGCGTATTGATTGAATGGGAATGAGATGGTTGCAGAATACTTACTGCATCTGTCAGCGATACCGATGGCATAACTTCTGTGTCCCGCCGGTCAGAAAAATGGAACACAGCGCATATGAGACATACGCAGAAGATGGACACTAATTGTCAAAGATGAGCTATTAGCACAGTGCAGAGTTGTTGATCTCGACACATACACAGAAAATGGTATTCCAATATAGCGTATCTAGACCATTCTGGAGTCAGCACAACTTGCCCATCACGCTAAACAACGTGAGGTACGAACAATTAGATATAGCACAGTCATGAGAGACCAACGTTGTCTCTGTCACGAGTTCATTGCATGCTCTTGTTTTCCTCTGATACGGAACTCTTGCTACTTACCCAGATGAGTTCAATCTATGACACCATTCTTAGTGAGATGGCTGCTCCGGCGATAACATCGACGTACCTCTTGTCCGAGTGTTAAGACTAGTCGAAATATCATGAGAACATCAGCGATTTTCGAACACTGTCCTGCTCACCCCAATCATATACCACCACGATGCCAGCAGCAACTTCAAAACCGAAAGTTAACGTTGGATCCAGACACTCTAATGTGACAAACCTGCCAAATAGCTCAAAAGAATATTCCAATTGATTTGCGGCCACCAACTGGGATCATTTGAGACGTAAGTCATGTTCGAGGGATGGGTGTGAGCAAGTGGGGAATGTTAGTAGTGTATGACGCTAGCGTTCGTGCTAGATATACCACCGTTCAGCGTTTCTGTTGTCAAAATCAGCACAATGGAAATTTATATTTGATCCCGCATCAAGATCGGGTGAAACAGTTCGAAATCAAATAAAAATAAGCCCTGGATAATCGAGGTAGAATTTTATTTACAACCCAGTATCAGCATGCGACCACGTGGATACCAGAAAAGTTCCAATCGTTGGCGATGTCGGACACTGATTTCCAATGCCATTTTCGGGGTGTTTCGTACGAAACTATGTGGCCGTTAGTCGCATCTTGGTCTGATGCTTGCACACGCACAGCCGTCTTGCAGACACACCGTTGCTGTAGAATCCTAATTCCACCTTGACAGGGCGACAACGATACAAATCCGAAACAGTCACATGTCGCAACATGCAGATAGCATGGCATCTTTACGTGATGAAGCGCATGGTAACCATTCCATTCTCCATCTACGGAAAGCCTTGGCCTGGACGATGCAATTGCCATAACCTAGAAGACTCGCCATACAAATGTTGCTGTACCGTATACCCGCCCTTTTTGAGCGCTTCAACTGCACAGATATTGTTATGTGTTTCCTATGAGTTTTGATGTTGACATCCTGTTGTTCGAGAAAGGGAAGTTGAACTGTTGCGGTCGCTGTCTTGGCTTCAGAGTTCCTGTATAGATCCATCCTGTGTTGGCTCAGATCAATGCCATCGAGTGTTAAATACATGAAAGCTATGATATACTTACTATGACAACACCAAAACACGGCGATGAATAGTGATGTGCCTGGCCTGGCTTCAGGCCCTGGCCCACATGCCCTTGCAGGCCAGGTCCAAGCCACAGGCTATACTGTCATATTGAGGCTTAAAAGTATGTGATAAGACATACACATCAGTAAACCACTTCGCGCTGTACAGTGTGCAAGCACCACAGCTTGGTCCCAAATAGGCTAGCCAATCCATCACAGTGACACCTTTCGCTATGAGTCTTTGTACAGACACCCACAGACCGACCAGTAACTTTTGTTCGAGGACACGACGGACGAAAAAGGAACGGAATGAAGTCTATAATGAATGTATGTAAATACTAGATATCAATAGTTAGTATTATATCAAAAGTAAAATCAATAAAAGAGTGTCTCACCTCCAACTCACCTCAGTCTCGAGAGTCGAAGACCGAGATGCAAAGTACTATGACGGATGAGCGCATAGCGTATTATGTAAGCATGTGTTGTTTGTTGTTGTCCATATTTACGCATTTGGCTATTACAAATTATTTACAAACTCCGAGCTCGCCACCTCTGAAGACATTTTGCAGCAACACACTGTATCCAACGCCTACTAAGTATCTCGTTTTGCAGGTCTGCATCAGATGCCATCCGAAGTAGAAGACATTATTTGAAGAGCAGTTTGGATTGAACCCGACAATACCCCCCCCCCCCCCCCCCCTTTCGTGTAATCTACGGCGATCACTTGAAGCAGAACGCGCTCGGGCCTCCTGCAGGAGAACATCACGCATCCGTTCATCCTTGCCTGAAGATCATAACCGCACATATGTCTCTTCATCGCGATAAACTGTACTCGTAGATTTGGCATTGAAATTCTATGGCCAGCTTGAATAGCTGAGTTCCTCGCTTCGCAGTCTGCAGTCTGCATCTGACTTTCATTTTATTTTGTGCTACAGAAGTCAGACGGAGGCGTGATCTAGCCCCATCACGTACGGAATGGCAGACGGACTTCACGACCTGCTACTTATCACTGAAGATACCCTAAACTGGTTTTCACGAGCAAAGTCCGTTCTTCTCGTTGATCCATCTACTGTGTGATCGGTATCTGTTCGAGGTGCCTGACTTTGCGGACAATAAGATTGGACCGAGCCCAGGCACCTGATGGACGACTCTGACAAGTTGCCCGGCGGTTCGCCAGGCTCACTAGCACTCCCGAGTATCATTGCAGTTGATGGTCTGCCTTGGACAGCCTTTCGGTCCATTTTTACTAGCGCAGCAGTGTGTCGGAGAACACGAGAGGATTTCGGATCATAACATCAGCACACGAGTCAAAGACAACTTCCGTCGTCATCTGAACATCGGTGCCGTAGAAATACTATAGGTTTGCGTCATCTCTGTTGCACAGTCCACCTGCTGCATGAAACGAGCCGGTTTATCAGAGTTCTCACTCGCGGGCATTGCGTTTGACAGTTCGCTTCGGACAGCCTTCCGGTCCATTTTTGCTATCGCAGCGGCGCGACGGAGAACTCAAGAGGATCGCAGCAATTTCATGGTATCATTGCACAGTTTCAGGACATAGCTTTTATTAGCTCCAAATATGATGGACATCAGGACACTATTAGATATACTGTGGCTTGCCGCTGTATGAATCCTTCCAAAAATCTCCCACCTGTCTGAGAGAGGGTTTATCGTCACGCCACCTTCCAAGATATCAATAACCTGAGTTTGGCCCGAGTGAACTATTAGTTTCCAAATCCGCCTGCGGTTACGGTTGATGAGATCGATCGAGCAAAATATAATATTGCTCAGACTGAACATTTTTAAATGCTGTTGGAGCGCCAAGGGTCCTGGTTCGTAGTCGGTGGTTACTTACTGCCGTTCTGCGGCTGCCATTCGCCGTGACAGAATTTGACAGAACTTGAAAAGATACCGGAATGTGTGAGATAAACTGCGTAGTTGTCAATGCAAATCCTAACTGTATTCATCCACCCAATAAACGAACATATTAGGACATGTCCCCGATTCATTCAATAGATCACATTTCAAGCGTGAATACTGTCCGCTCAACTCCTCTGGCGTCACACCGAAAACTGCGACAACAATCTTCCCAAACACCTGACTGATTCCGCGCAACGCACTCGATGAACAGAATGTAGCTGAAAATTTATTGATCTTGACATCAACGGACTCAAAACGCCGGAAGGTGCTTCAAGGAAGTTCGGAACCAGGCAGGTATGATGGGTGCCGAAGTCTATTAACGACGAGCTCTCGGTGGTTATTATGGTGCGAGAAGCGAGGGGGGTGTTTGGGATGTCGAATCATTAATGTCAACCAATGGTATTTTGTAGTTGACGAATAATTTACCTCTTCTGAGTTTCGCCTAGTTTTGCCATGAAACAACCCTAGTTCTGTCATGTTCAGCCGGCAAATAGTTTTCTACCCACAGCACTATCGGTATTCCTGCGCATTGCTGTAGTAGTCGGTCCTGGATAGATAGAGCCGTAGTATAGAGGTTTGGCCTTGTATTTCCCTTGCAGTCCGTGTCCGTTCAAGTTCCAGTGCTATTTTCGTCACTGGAATTGTTCACGAAAAGACTCACCCCAGAAATCTGAGAGACACACCATCTGGTTGGAGAAATTATATTAGATATGTTGCGAGGCCACATTTTGTGAATGATGGCACATGCTCTGACGTGCATTCGAGTTGCACGAAAGACACAACACCGGCGTGACCGATGCATATCTCCATTCTGCCTGACATGCCCAGGATCCGACAATAGGAACCGACCCTATTCGACTGCCAATAATACACAAGAGAATGTCACATTCCCTGCGTCGCAAAGAAAACTCCCGAGTCACGTTCCTGGGAGGTTACTATGTAGTACATAGTACAGTAGTACAATGATGTCATGCATCATTATGTATACCTGTGGGAAGTTATCGATGAGTTAGGAACGTGCAAACACGTGACTCAAATTTTGGGGTGCTAGAAACTTTGACAAGCTGCCAGTGCCGGTTGCCACTATCGGTCAGTCCTAACTCTGCGCATGTAGGTGGCTGAATGTCATGCTCAAGCACCAAGCTACAGTCGCCTTCATACATAAAGGGACAGCAGATTTATTTTAAGAGTGTCCTGGATCCATGTGCCATACGTGCTAGTACATTGGCCTCATCTGACCTACCTCTCGGATGACCCGGAGGCAATGCCTCAACAATCCATCGATGCGCAGAAGCGGTCTGTCAAGCATGTTCTCCCACTTTGGCGCAGTCTGCAAAATTGCATTTGACTCCTGCGTTGGTCGCGGATACGGTTAGCCTTTGCTTCCATACAAATGAAGCTTTGTTGGTTGGTCCACCCCGTCCCATATTTTTAGGGTTCAAGTTAGTGCCTTACCAAGACTCTACGTATACCAAACTCAGAGATACCCAGATCACACCACCGCGTCATGATGGCCGTCTGGGAGTAATGCATGGTTTCTATCTATATCACTGGAGTACAGGATATTCCGAGTTGTATCTAAATCAATCTCGGCAAATATCATTCGGTCTTACTTGCAGGGAACTGACATGGCTCTAGGGACAGCGGTCGCGGCTGATTTCTATTTATTCTACCCCTGTGCCGCCTTTAAGAAAGCTTTATTGAAGATTGTAGACCTGCATCCCCTGTACCAAGACGCATTCCTCTACACTCCCATTACCAAGTCATAGTTCTTTCTCAATGCCTGTTCGGTTCGCACGTCACTCTGAAGTCGACGTTCTCATTATTGGCGCTGGCCCTGCTGGTCTCATGTGCGCGAATGCCCTCGCAAATGCGAGAGTGAATGTCCGCATCGTCGACCAAAGGTCAGTGGGTCAATCCCTTCTATGCCTGCTTTCAATTCAACTTTCGGTTAGGGCCTTCAAGATAACTGCCGGTTATGGGGATGGAATTTCACCTCGCACTATTGAACTGTTGCAGGTGAAGATCCTTCCTGACTGACCGAATAAGACGCAGTATTAACGAGCTGAATATAGAGTTATGGACTTGCAGAGCGCCTTTTAAAGGAGTGTTCCCAAATCCATCTAGCGGTACATCTTTCAAGACGGGCTTGCAGGATATGTTGCTCATTGCATCTTAGGCATTCTACAACCCTTCTTCGACCGGTGGCATAGAGGTTCGTGAATTCCGCTATCGACGAAGGATGTTCACTGAATTTCCGCCATTAGCTTACCAAAAGAACATCAAACATAACAGCTCCGTCTGCAAGATACCCATTCGAGGTGCGTTCATGAATCTGACAGGAATTATATCAGCTGAACGAGATCAAGGCTGCGCTCCATCAAGGAGCCATTCAAGACATTTTCTTAGATTCCATGTCATCGCTTGGCGTTGAGGTCGAACGATCGACCATGCCGACTTCGATAGAGCTCTCTAAGAATGAAGACGAATTGACGGATCCTACGTCATATCCAGTTCGCGTTGTGCTCCAAAGACTAGACCAATCCGAGGATGAACAAGAAGAAATTGTCCACGCTAAATTTGTTATTGGTGGTGACGGTAGGCTCCTAAAATATCGATCCTGCCAATATAATCATTCACATTGATAGGCGCTCACTCATGGACCCGCAAACAGTTCGATATCACGATGGATGGAGAACAATCTGGTGAGAAAGTTGATCTCTCAAAATTCTCACTAAGCTCACTCTCGATCGATAGATGCCATCTGGGGTGTCGTGGACTTTGTGCCCGATACTGACTTCCCGGATATCAGGAATAAGTGTCTAGCACAATCTAACTATGGCTCGATGTTTCTCCTTCCTCGGGAAGAGGATCGCGTTCGCGCATATGTCCAACTGGAAGACAGAGATGTCATCAATCCAGTGACAGGCAGGGTGGACAAGGATAGAATGGGTCCAGAGGAAATTCTTCAAGTAAGCGATATCCATCATCATACTACGGTCAACATTCATCAATGTTCCCCTTAGACTGCCCAGAAATCGCTCAAACCTTACAAGCTTACCCGGAAGAGTGAGTTTTTGTGGTGGACGATATATAGCGGTATGCATCTTACTGTCAGCTATGAATTCGTGTTTTTCTGACACTTCTACTCAAGTTGGACAACGAGTGGCCTCGAAGTTTTCTATCAAAAACAGAATATTTGTCGCTGGTGATGCTTGCCACACGCACTCTCCGAAAGCAGGTAAGCGTCCTAAATTTAGCCCCTTCCCCGGTCTGGTTACAATGGAACTTCCAGGACAAGGAATGAACGCGAGTATCAACGATAGTCACAATCTAGGTATGTCTTCCGTTGCTGTCGTCGCGATCGAGCTAAATCGCTTTGTCAGCTTGGAAAGTTGCCCAAGTTATCCGTGGGTGGGCAGACATGTCCCTTTTGTCAACGGCAAGCTCTTTGTGCAATTATTTGACTCCTTGCTCACGCGCCGCCGATAGTACGAATCAGAGCGCCGTAAATTCGCATTAGAACTGATCGCGTTTGATAAAATGTGGTCCACCCTTGTGTGCGAGAAGCCCTTGACTGAGCAGAACAGCGATGGGGTTTCGTCCGAACATGTCTTGAAGTGAGATTATTCTATCAACAAGTCTCGTCTGATTACTAATCCCGCGAGATCGTAGGACTTTCCAAACAGATTTCACCAGTGGAATTGGGATACATTATCACCCTTCAGTTGTAGTAAATGACACATACCAGGAGCTGGCTAGTGGTCTCGTCCTCGGCAAACGCGTCCCTCCATACAAATTCATGCGGGCAGCAGACGGACGGCCATTCGAGCTCCAGGACCTACTTCCTTCAGACTCCCTCTTCAAGTTACTTGTGTTCACTGGTGAATTCAGCGATCCGCTTCAGCAAGCGAGGGTCGAGTCTATGGTTGCGGACCTGCAGAAACCTCAGAGCTTCCTGAACCGTTACGCGACCCCTGGGGACTCGCGATTCGACGTCATCACGATCAGCAAAGACCGGAAGGACAAGTTTGACTTCTTGCAGCTTCCTACGCTTCTTCGCTCTCATTGGTCGAAGTGAGTGTTTGCTCATATTTGTCAAGTGTGATGATATTGATCGAGGTGCTCTTAGGGCGTTTGTCGATGACACCGATCCCACTGGTAGCTTTGGGGGAGAGGGTTATTCGTATTTTGGAGTGGGATCTGAAGGTGCACTGGTTGCTGTTCGCCCTGATGGCTATGTTGGAGCTATCGCGCCACTGGATCGCGCTGAGGTCCTTGATGCGTATTTCGCGTCTTTCATGAAGATTCCCGCTTAGGCTTAACAGCGAATATTGTTCCAATACTGCTTCGCTATTTCAACACAGCGCTAGTTCTTAGGATGTAATTCTTTCGGTACATAATACCCTCACATCATACTTATTCACGCACGGACTATTCTTCATGCTTTTCTGGAGATAAGCCACCGACGTAAAGGCCTTGGCAATTCACATTTTTGAAACATACGATTACGTCTTACAGCCGAGCTTGATTGAACAGTCAGTGGTAAGAGCTACCAGCGACGGCTGCTTCTACTGATCTAAAATTTGAAAAGTGAAGCGAGGCAGAGTCGAGGTCGTTTCGCGCATACATCTCCGTTAACATTCGTGTCAAAATGACCAGAGTGAATGTTCTGTGATGTATCGGAGAAAGCTGAACATGGTAATGTATTGGGACCGGAGAGACCGACGGGTATGCTATAGACTCTCGGAAAACAACGAGGCCAATAAGAATGAACCACTCAGGTATGCTGATGGAAAGAACTGAGAGAGTCGACTATATAGCCAGCGATTCCTCCGAAGAGAGGCGTCAGTAACCAGGCCTAAGCATCTCGGAACCTGGATGTGTCAACCATTCGGCTACAAAATGCCTGATAAGAAAGCAGTGAGCAAGCGTCATCAGGCTAAATTCACCTACATCACGACATTTATGTGACTAGATAATTATCCGCAGACAAACCAAAATACGTTCTTTGGAAGATGTTTATAAGAGATAACTCACACCGAAAACAAAATAACACATGGAAAAAATAATGTGTCGGTGAAAATACCACTACAGTATACTCTGGTAGACAACGGAGAAGGTGACAAAGAAAACGCGAGAATGTCAGGATGGTGGAGTCGAGCAAGCTGGACTCAATCGTATGGAGACCTATGGAGATCTGGAACCCTGTATGATATAGAGATTGATACTGGCACTACAATCACTCGTACCCGGTCGCAGTTACACAGGCAGGACCTGAGTTGTAGATTAGTCATGTCACTGGCCTGAAACGGACATAAACTTCAGGCTAACCCGTCTGAACTATGTACGTCAGGCACAAAGCTGGCGAACCAGTTAGCAGTTGACTTAGGGCATCACCGTCTTGGCGGTGTTTGTGGCGCTCCTGAAGGCATTGAATAGTTTGCTGATGACGTAAAATTGCGAACGGGGGACGGTTCGTGGGGTGTGGATGGTGATACGTGTGTGTGGAATGACGTGGACACCCCAGCTGAGGCAGGGGAATAAATAAATAAGATATTTGTTGCGATAGGGTCATCCAAGTCTGTTCGGCACCATTGCGCGTTTCTTGGTAAGTTGACTGCGTTCCACGTGGCGTACATGCGGCCGTATTAATCTGGGTAATCTATCTCATCGATATCCGCAATTTCTGCACCAGCTCCCCTCTAAGAGAGTCTTCGTTCTGCTTTGCGACCAGGTACAACCAGGGGCTGGTTCTTTACGGTCGCAAGACGTTCCATTGCGCCTATTCTAAATGTGGACGGAGCACGTAGGGTAGGTTTCGAAGAATCAGAAATGGAACCAGAAGATTGATGACCTGGCCGATTTGCCGGTGAAGCCAACTGCATGGGCGTATCGACAGATCTGTGGGAAGTGACAAGCCGATCATCTTCAACAAAGGTAGAAGACGACTCTCCAGACGATGGTGGTGTCGGGAAAAACAGCTTGACGGGCTGTTTCTGAGGATTGATGAGTTTTCCCGCCTTGATGAGACCATGCTCGGGCTCATCAAGGTTAAATAACGCAGGAATATCGTTTTCGTCAGTTGCGATGTGCCGCCAGTCCACCTCAGGTTCTTGGCTTGTGATATTGGCCAACGGCGAGTCGATTGTTAGTTTCTTGTCCAATGCCCACTGCACATCGAGCTTCATTGACTGCGCTCGAATGCTCTCGAGGCCTGCACGGAGATGTTGTATGAGATCGGGGAGTGGCATGCGGTAACTCAGGAGAGAAGGCGACATAACATATGTCCAGTCTTTGTCCATGTAAGAAGAGAGGCAAATGAACATTGCTCTCATAACGTACCTTGAAGGATTAGATGCCTGGTGGGCGCAGGATTCGATATCAACCCCAGATTAGACGGGGTGATCGACGATGCCAAGCTGGCAAGTTTTAACTCGCGACTCGAACGATCAAGCTTTTTCTTGGGCTTCCCAACGACACCCGAAGATTCTTCAGGCCCATACTTCTTGCTCAAATGTCTGTCTTCGAGATTCTCTTTCGGCTCAGCATCAGCACCTCGAGTAACAATGAGCTCAAAGGCGGACCTGATGCGCATTGCGATCCTGTTGCGCACCACTGCCCTTTTGTTGGTCTTCTTTTTTGAAATCATGAAGACTATGCTCATATCTAGTTTCTTGGAACCGTCCTTCCGTTTCCCCCGCGGTACTATGGCAGAGCGCTCAATCTGAGGTAAGCGCCTCTCAAATTCTGGGCGCAGGAGCGCACCCTTGGGTACAGCGCGCAGCATGAATGCAGGGCAGGAGAAATGCGGAAACGCGTGTGCTTTCCACCGAGTGGCAGGGTGCGTTGGGTCAACAGTGCGGGCACGGTTGTACGGCGCGGTACCAGGGAAAAGTAATGGAAGAGGGGAGCCGGGTGTTACATTGCAACGCTTTAAGGAACAATAATGAGAGAATGTGACATGAAAGAGAGAGGACGCACGTTAATTGAACGAAGACCTGGAGCTTTGGGTAGTCTAGAGAGGTCAAGACATTTAGGCATGTAGCTCGCTACGTCTTACTTGCGATTCTTTGGTGGACGGGTTCGATTTGCCGATTTGCCGCGCATACTTAGGTCACGTGGCACACTCAATCTCGTTCTGCTGCCTGGGCCCTGCACCACAGGTCTCTCTCCACGATAAACCGTGCCTGCAGATTTGGCATCAAAATTTTACAACCAGTTTACAGGTACGCCTATAGGCCAGCATCAAACTTCCAAATGACTTGCGGACGTTCTTGCATCTTTCGCGCAAGCCCTTTAGGAATTCTCGAGGTTTTCATCGGGTAGCAGAGTGCGTCGTATGGGTGAATCGTTGACGGTGGATTAATCGAGACCTGTGCTTTGTAACGTCTGGAGAGGTTGATGCATTATTGCGATATATATTTACTGTGAGTGTCTGAAAGATTAACTTTGAGTCTTTAACACACCCAATGAATAGTATGAATGTTGAACCTGAATAGATCAGTGGCACACAAGGCGTAGTCTCTATGACTACGTTTTGTTGTACTCGTCTTTCCAGGAAAAGGATCTGGGAAAGCATAACTATACCATCGTACCTACTACGCCTTCATAATCCTACCGGGCTTTAAGCGCACCCAAACACGTAAATACCGTGCTACTCAGATCCTCAGTGCAAGAAGCATGAGACCCTCTACCAATGGCCCAATGCTCGCTGCCTACGTCTAGTCCGACCCCACTCGCATACCACGATGGTTACCATGATCGCAAGCTCCACATCATTAGCGTATTACGATTCCTATGTCAATGATGCATGGATAATCAGTATTGGCAAATGTGCCTCGTAATTGGGCCAACCCTGGTGAGAACAGGCCACATCATCGTGACCCCTATCGCAGCAATCGCTCTAATGTTGTCTTAACTCTACAGATGTGCGTTGTGTGTCACTCGATGGTGTAAACTGCCTGCTGCACGAGGTGGACAATTGCCAATGACTGCATACCACAATGGCCGGCGTCGGCGGTCTATGATACTGAGCTTCTGAACTATGACTGTTCGTGGTGTCACAAGAGGTGCAAGGTGGCATCTTATTGAAATTACTGGATCCTCTATGTCACAATAGCTGTAGTTCGCGGTGTCAGGATACGAGCGATTGGACGACCTCGACTGCCAAGATACAAAACTTGCAAAATTCAATCCGATTCTGATCATCAACTCGACTTGAAACATTTTACTTGTCCTCGGATTGTAATTAGCTCATGTGCAAGGGTGGTTGGGGTACAACGATTCCCTAGCCCCTGGGTGTACCACAGCGACTTGCTGGCAATAATGATTTGAACGAGCTTGATTGGCTGATTACGTTTACAAGTCTGCGGACCGTGCTTATATAAGTCATTTTGCGCCGGTTGAGCACTACTAAGTGACGGTTTCCAGCAACGTCCCAAACTTTCTTTACGATGGATAGCTCGACCTCCGTAGCACTCGAGCCTGTGCTATCATTCCTGGCATTCTCCTTGTCAAAACTAGAGTCTGGCTTCTACAGAATTCCAGGCTCAGCAGTCGTTGCACGATATGTCAAATCTTCTCACCAGAACGATCCCGGACGAACAATTCTCGAGCTTATTCTCGTCATTTTTGCCATAAGGACTCTACTACAGTCCAGGACTCGCACTGATAGGTCAGGAAAGCATTTCATCAAGTTTTCTGAAAAGGTTGTTGGGTTTTATCAAACTGCGCTTGTTCGTCCCTAACTGATGTCCTTCTAGGAAATAGACGAATTAGTGGACGAATGGGTGCCCGAACCTCTTGCACAACCTCTTAGCGAGTGGGAACAGAGAGATCTCAGCTCAGTTCCTGTCATTTCTGGCCCTAATGGTCCCAAGCCAAAACTCCTCGCAACTGGTAAAATTGTAACCAACCTCGCTAGCTTCAACTTTGCTGGACTAGCGGGTAATGAGAAGGTCAAGGAGCGGGCCCTCGAGACGCTTCAGAAATATGGTCTTGGGAGTTGTGGACCCCCTGGATTTTACGGAACCATCGGTGAATGCGGCTGGTAGCAACGTGCCGCGGTAGGCTGACGTGCAATATCTATTAGATGTCCATCTCGACCTTGAACGTGAGATTGCTGGGTTTCTGGGCACGGAGGCTTCTATCCTCTACTCTCAAGGCTTTTCAACTATTTCGTCTGTCATTCCTGCCTTTTGCAAGCGTGGGGATATCATCGTTGCCGACCGTTCCGTGAACTTCGCCATTCAAAAAGGCATCCTAATATCCCGTTCAACCGTCCGTTGGTTCGATCATAATGATCTCAAGAGTCTCGAGGATACCCTCGTCAGCGTGGAGAAGGAGAGAAAAAAACGCAAGGGTCCTCTCACGCGTAGATTCATCATAACTGAAGGTATCTTTGAGCGCGATGGCGAGATGGTGGACCTTCCTAAACTGGTTGGTTCCTTCATTCCAATCTATTTAGTGTCGTGTTCACTCAATTTTGGTTTGCAGGTTGAACTTAAGCTGAAGTACAAGTACCGCCTCATCCTAGATGAAAGCATCTCTTTCGGAACCATGGGCCGAACCGGTCGTGGTCTGACAGAACTATACAACGTTTCAGTGGGTTGGCTCATTCCAGTGAGGATATAGCTCACGTGAAATTTTCCAGGCGCCGGAGATTGACATGCTCGTAGGCTCTGTTGCTAACGGTCTTTGTTCTGCAGGTGGCTTTTGTGCTGGTTCTTCTATTGTGGTGGATCACCAAGTAAGTACAAATTGCTCGCATTCATGATCCTGTAGTCATGCATTAAGCAGCGGATCAACGGCACGTCCTTTGTATTCTCGGCTTCCATGCCTGCTCTCCTGGCAACCTCTGGGTCGGAGGCAATAACTTTCCTCCGGAACAACCCCTCGGTACTTCTCAATTTGCAAGACAATATCCGCGCCATCCGCGCAGTGTTGGAGAAAACCGAAGGTATTACGCTACTCGGTCATCGTGCCAGTCCTATCATACATTTCTGTCTGCGAACCCAACAACAATCGCTTGCTGTCACCCAGCCCACCTATGACTACGAGGCTGAAGAACGCATCCTGCAGGACATTGTCGATGATTCGATAGCAAACGGTGTGCTGCTGACGCGGGCGAAGCACTTGCGCGGACAAGAGATGGTAGAGTCCAGGCCCACTATACGTATTGCTGCCACTGCTGCGCTGTCGAGGAAAGAGGTAGAGAAGGCAGCGGGCGTCGTCAAAGCCAGTGTCACTCGTATTTTGAGCAAAAGGAGATAAATCAGTCTGGGTCGACGGTCCTTCGTGCATATATACCAATTTACGGATTTTATTGTTATTTCAAACTGTTCGTCGTTGATCCGTACTATACACATTTAATTACCTGATACATATTATTATCCGACACAGTTATATAGAAATACACGACTTTGAAATGATGACATAGATAACGCGGATATGTTACAAGCGGATGTTGATTGAACTGTTCTCCACAAGCTTGACAGCTTCTTCTAAGGCATCATCTAGCTCCGTCAGCCATGCCCATTCCCAATTCTTGGTGACAGTATTGCCGAGCCTGTGCAGAGGGACGTTCGTTTGCAACGCGCATAGTTGGCCATTGAGCCTTGAGCGTAGAGCCACATCTGATGAGAATGGCCGTCTCAACTTGTCGTATATGGCAAGGGCCCTGGGTACCGTATCCAAGGTCGTGGCTTTGTGTCCAAGAACAGTTGCGAGGAGGTAAGCATCCTATCAAATCAAATCAGCACGGTGTGAAATGGAAGCACGAATGTGCGCCACTGACTTCAATACTCTGACCAGCACCAGCGCCCTGGAACGGCAGCATTGCATGGGCAGCATCTCCCAATAGTGCAACTCGTCCGAAGTTTGTGGATGGTAATGTTTTCACGGTGTGTACAGCCCAAAGCGTGCCTCTTTCTACACACTGCGGAAATTGTCAGTGAGTGACCAGTGGAACAGATAGGAACGACAGACCTTGAGAATCTGCTTCGCGTCTTCTTCGAAGTCTTTGAAAGGTTCAACAAACTGTTCAGCCGTGAGTTCTCCGACCCAGTCGCTGTCAGCCCTCCCTTGGAAAGACCGACGAGGCATTCGTGGATCGGCTTCATAGGCCGTGTTAACGAGATCAGGTTGAAGCGTGAAACCTGCGAAATTGATGTATTTCCCAAGAGAAATTGAGTATGCAAGGAAGAACTGAGATGCGTCAGCCTCAATACAATGTATATGATAGATAAAAATAAAAATGTCTCACAGCATCTTTTCCCAAGTACTAGAAATGAAGGCACCGCTAAGTCAATGCTATGCCATGTAACTACTAACAGATGATTTACCTGAGTAATCCCCCCCGCAAAGACGCGGTGGTTAGGACAACGCGCGCGCAGCTTCTCTGCAGGAATCAATGTTCGGTATGCAGTGACGCCACTCCAGATTGGGTTCATGCACGAGAGCACAGACTGCTTTTCATGAGGGCCCACGACCTCAGCCAATTCACGCATCATGCAGGGTCTGACTGAAGATTTGATTCCGTCGGCGCCAATTAATACATCGCATGTCGCGGTCGATCCATCCTGAAATATTAACTTGATTGGTGATTTTCTTGAACGGGGCTGGATATATGATTTTAGTCGCTTGGCGTTATACGTTGTACAAGACGGCGAGAGATGTGAGAGAAGTACGCCATGAAAGTCAGCTCGATGAAAACGCATTTGATTGCCTGTGCCACCGATTGTGGTCAATGAGATGCATTTGAATGTACAGGAAAGTTGACCTTTTGTCACCAGGTCAAAAAGCTGAAAGCCAACGGTTTGATCACTTTTACGGTGCTTGATACATGGGACTAAATTTCTCAGTGAGTTTGAACATCAATCGTGTACGAATTGTCACTGACCATATTCTTCTGTGAATTCGTAACCGCAGCGCTGAATTAGCTGTCGTTCTAAGTCATACCCAAGTTTTCGTAACACCTAGTTTATGGTCTGACCCCAGTATATGTTATTGTCCGAAATCTGTACCTTGAATGACCTGGGCCAGACACCCAAACCAGCGCCGACTTCGTAAAAGCTCTGAGCGGCTTCGTATACGTCGACGACAATATCCGGGTACTGGGAAAAGGCAACGGCTAATGTCAAACCACCTACCCCTCCTCCACTAGAGCAGTATTGCAATGAGCACGACTATAGCCACAAGCTGGAGACGCCTCACCAGATAGCGACCCTGAATTTAGGTGGAGACATTGTATGTGGAGACGATGATTATTCGGAGGTGCTAGTGGTTTATTATATATGTCCGCATGGGAGTGAGAAGCTGAGTGTCGCAGTTGAGACAATCCGGACCTTTCTACTCGCATCGTAACACGAAAAGCGCGCCACATCATGTCAGGGAAGATCAATCTACTCTTTCTTGAGTATGTCCGATTGAATCGTGTCATTAGTTGCTGTCAGTGTGAAGGCTTGATTTAAGCCGTTGAAATCGCATGAAAAATATGGACGGTAACACAATGTTACCAAACTATCCCGAAAATGATATCGACTAGTCCGTTGGAATGAAAGTCTGAACTCGAATCAAAGTTGAATGTTTGATTTACGGTACCAGGCTAACAGGAGCTGCGAGGCACACGGAAAAGAAGCAAACCGAAATATCCTGATCTGGAAAATTGGAGATCGATGACGCCAAATCCAGCGGTTAAATTGCACGTGACATTCGGACTTTTCATAGCAAACCACATGGCAGGTAATTGCATTCATTCGATCCTGCAGCTGACCTTGATTCGAAAAAGGTTGAATCGGAACTGACAAGTACATCGACGGGATCGCAAATCGCACCGTCCATCATGACATTCACATACGTGATCGGTGGGACACTTGCAACCTGGTGCAGGAAAAGTAACTTCATATTTTTACACAGAACACATGGAGGAGGATGAAACGACGCCAAAATCCCTCCCACCCTGGGTTGAGCTGGAATATGCGGCACGTAGTGGACTCATCAGCGCAATTCGCTCAAGGACTGAAGGTTGTTTTAGCATATGATCATGTTGGCTGGCATCAACGGTCGAGTTGAGTTCACACATCTATCACACAACTCCAGTTCATCGCTCGATGCCCGGCTTGCCTCCATAAATGAACCATCTGCATCATACCGCGTCCATACTCAATCAGTAATGGAGCTGCTGGAGCAGAATAACATTCCAATCACAAGAGTATGTCTTCTTGACCCGAAAGCTCAAACAGTGCTCGCTCCGGAAGACGGCAAGATTTTTGATCATTTCTTGTTTGGGGTGAGATCTGTATCCGCTGAAACCTCGGGCTCGCTGATCAACTCACCTTCTGTCCCCAAGGGTATACTAGGTAAGCACATCAAGGCTCCTTATCATCAGATTATCTGGACATCACACGCCAGGTGATGATCCCCCTCGTGATCGAACATCTGAGCTCCGCCAACTTGGTTTTCCTTCGCGTCAGCTGGGTTCAATGCAGATGACAACAGATACCGCGCTCGCTGTAACGAAGCGGGTTATCGATGACAAAGGTGACTCTTGCACTTTTCCGCAGCGTAACCGTTCCAAGCCATTTATAGTGCAACTGAATGCTATACCTTACGTGGTGGGTTGCAGGATATTTATGAGCATAATGGATATTCATAGCCTATCTAGGACTTTCCGACCATCACATTCAATGCTAAAGAAAGCGTTGAAATGCCTTTCCGTCAGTGAAACTCTTGAATCACGTTAGGTCAGGACTAACCGCATCTTTCACCCGCGGCCATCGTGGAATTTCAACAGGGTATATTGTCAACGGCAAAGAACCCGTTTTACCCCCCGGAATGCGGGAACTTCTGCATGAGGATCTTAACAAAAGTGTCATCTTCTAAAACCACTTACAATGTCACATAGTAACTGCCGTTATGGGGTTGACACGTGTTGGTCCTTACATCCCCCTGGACAGTTTTGCGCCCTCAGACAGCATCGTCTCATGGCTGAATAAAACCCGTTGGATATGTGTCTTATCATACAGAATTGCTAAACCAGTAAAGGATATTCGGTGAGGAATGTCTACAAGATAGCTCATGCCTGTGTCAACGATTTGAGCTATTACCGCGCTCGAGGGGAGCATAAAACAGGACGCGGCTGGGTCAATAAGCAAGTGATTATCGACATCCCGCACAGCGGAAAACGGAGGCCAATAATAACTACACATTTCGAGATGCAATCTCCGAATGCAATCGAGATACACCTATCGCGGGTACTTCACTTTTTTTTTTCATCGGCTATGGTCTATTCGCGATGGATCTCTATCCCGCGAGCCACTTTTTTTGGCGTGAAAACGTGATTATTTGTTACAAATGGTAACGTATGTCCCGAAATCCCTGCGAAAAGTGACTCACGAAATAACCACCTGAATCACGAATAGACCGTAACCGATAGTTTGTAGCACACTCTCATTCAACTTTACATAAAATGTCAATCTCGTTGCTTGCCATTTCAATGAATATTGAAATCATTGATAGATCTTCCTTCCGTCACGTGTCTGGCAAGGTGTCGAACAAGTGTGAGGTAAAACATACATATGGCATAATTGTAATCTATGACCCTGTCGCCAATGCCTTCGACCTAAACGGGTCCGTTGGTCGAATGACTGCCTGCCAACATTCATTAGTCACTCTGTCAAATCACTGACAAGATAAGAAAGTGAAATCGTGTGGAATGCCGGCGAGCTAGACTATGAAGGCCTATGACCGCCGGAGAACAATCCATCATAGTGATGGGGAGATGCTCATAATAATCATCACAGATATCGAAATAAAACTGCGGAAAGAAAGCAAATAGAAAGGAAGGCTCACCGATCGAGGGTACCAGGAAGGCCAAAAGGACCCGACGTATGAGCCTTAACACCTTGGTGACTAGCTATGAAGTGAAGTCGATGCCAGAACGTCCAGCCGAGCGTTGAGAGGCAGACGACGTCCTTGGGCCTTGGCACCTGCCGCAGATACCTGTCTCCTAGATACGGGTCTGTTGATGAGGAATAGAGGAACGCTAGAAGGGTGGGTAACGACCCTACCGCCGTTCTTCTCGTTCGGTTCAGGAGGATCCTTTATACGACCTGGCGGAAGTAAATGGTTGATAGGCTGAGGGGGACTACTAGTTGGGGACAGGAAGCTTCATCTTCCAGGTTCGGTCAGCCTTTAGCATAAGTCGAACTTCAAGCCCACTCAGTCATGGGCCCCGTGCACAGCCGTTTCCGAACCGCGCCAAGCTCTTGGATATTTTGAGTGTCCGTGCAGAGATTGGGAACAGCAGGGCTGTACATGTCGTGCTACTCGGCAGCGGCAATTGATAAGATGGTGGGAGTATTGATGAAAAAATGCCAGCGGCTTTCAGTTGGACAGCGAATGATGTTTGGATATCGACTGGATTCGGGTGTAATTAGGTGCGTTTTTAGCGCTACCAACTTCTGTTTTTCTCAGAATTCAACGTGATCATGACCGACTGTGTCTCATGACAATGTGGTAAATGTATGGTGAGTTTCGGCTCTAAGATTCAAACAAAATATACCTGATTTATGGTGATTGCATCATTATCTGCATCTATCTCACCATGATCTGTTGCCCGGGCTTCATCATCCCTCGCTTCCTGCATTACCCCCTCCTGCTCAATCCGAATCCGTTTTGATTTTCTCCCATCATCAAAATTTGGTGACATGGTGTAAAACGGGAACGATGCCCAGAGAGCGATCTTTGTGTGGGGAAGGTTTTACCGCAGGAAAGGCAGGGCTGCTCCACCTTGATCGAAGTGAAGGAGTGATGCGACAATGAAAGGGAATGATCCAGAGTTTATGACTCAAAAGTCGGTCCCAGCCCAGATCAAAGCTGATGATATTAATATTTTATACAGATGTCATATGAAAGACAAAACAAAACATCGTTTACTGCGCTCTCGACTCTGCTGGCCAGCTTCTCGTCGGTGAAAAGTGGTAGCAAGGGCGGCCTCATCCTTATCTATGACGCGGGAAGGTCAGTCTGTCCACAGATGTCATAGAAGGGCAGAAACATGCGCTATACTCCCGAATAGATAAAAAGACGTACCGAGGAATCACAGAACACAAACTTAATTTTGTGTCTGAGTGGGCCACCATAGCTCATGGCGCGAAATGGATGCCATTCCGGCGTGGAGAGAGATCCGTCGAAGGAGCGACCGCATGGTGACGCTGCGATTACACGGTCCGGTACATAAGAAGATCTGGATTCGATTGAACGTGAGCAGAAGTTAAGTACGCAAATGAACATTTATACTGTACTCTTTGCCACCTGCTTTAGTACATCGTGTGCTTTCAAAAAGGGCATACTGGATACCCAGGGCACTGAGTATCGTCGAATGTACTTGCGTGCTCACCTCGTCCATAACTTGGTTATCATCTTCGCCATTGACCATGTCTAAATCGCCTGCGTCATCGACAGTGGCAAACGGTGTGCGCTTCACGATTCATGAATGCTGCGTTGACCACTTTGACTGTTTGACATGGGGCCCTAGCTATCAGAGAGAACACTATGGCCGATGACGAGCGGATGGATAACAAATACTACTCGACGAGCTCGATATTGCCACGACATCCAAGGGGCGGACGTAGTTCTTGGCTGTGCCTCTGCAAATCATATTCAACGTTAGACTGGGACTAACTGTATTGCAGGAACTTGAAGCTGACCTCGTTCTTCGCTTAAGGGAGATTGGAAATAAATATACGGTGAGAAACAAGTGGCAAGCGTGAAAACAGTAACCAATTGATAACTCATATTCACTGGTAGTTCCCGCTTATCATCTTGTTCATATGTCTCGTTCATCATCTACTCATCACCCTTTCATCCTCCATCTCAAAACATCCGCACCAACAGCCGCTGCCCAGGAACCCACCTCAATGTGGCTTCTCACAGTCAGCTCGGTCGCACTCCTTGAATATACGCCAAGCGAAAAATGAGAAGGCCGTGGAGATCGAGCCTATTGTTAGATTTAAAAATGGTGTCGTGAGGTGTGTTTTTGTGGTTTTCGCTTTGGGTAATTTCTAGTTGGAGGCAGGAGTTTCGGTTGTTTATACTTGCGTTCCCTTTTGAGTTGGGGCTTGTAGGGCAGGCTGTATTTCTCCTTCCCAAACACATAGCCAATGTCAAGTGTGCTGCCTACTCGGACACGAGATGTCAACGGGTTCGCACGTTGGGGGACCCAGCGGGCGCATACAATAACGACCCAGAATCTATCCATATGCTGTTAGCTCCCATTTCTCCTGCTAGTTTACATAAAATTGTGTCGTTGCAAGCATAGCTTATCACCTATACTCAAGCGCTATATACTTAATGGATTAATTCAATACGGTCATGGTCGCTATCGCCAGAATCCTCGAATGAACGGTCCAGCACTTGCTCATCCCAGTGAAACGACCCAAGGTTCGTCTCGAACCACTCCCTATCCTTTTTGAATAACGCTGGTCCACCTTCAACTGATATCAATGTGATGGGCGCCACAATTGGAAATGTCCAATCAAGAGTTTCTTGATCGTTTATCCAAAAAATGGATCTGCGTGCTAGCTTCCTCCGCTTTCGCACCATAGCCTTGAGCAACCTTGGAGAAAATTTCGTGCAATTGACAAGGTGTAACTCTTTCACCCCCTTGCATGCGAAGGATTGGTCGTGTGGTCCTCCGTCCATCATGTCCCGCAGGAAATCATCATGGAAGCATGCACAATCGATGAGCGAGAGCGTGCGCCCGCGCCAATGTGCCAGAGGAGCCATCAAATCCTGGTTGGCTGAGATACCACGGAGGGCGACGCTACTAGAGATTAGGGAGTGGTGGCAAGTAGTAATAGAGCAACGAGAAATGCGAGTTGTATGTGGGGCACTGTCAACATAACCGATAATTTCTGAGAGCACCTCGCCTGATAGGTCCTCCAAACTCATAGATATTAGGTCTATACTGATATCATTCACTGTGGTCCAAGGACGCAGGCGAGAGAAGTGCAAGTCCTTGAGCTCCAAGTATCCGAGGGAAGGGGATTCCTCTACTGCCTTCAACAGCTTGTATAAATCAATGCCCTTGGCTGAAAACTGGTGATGGCGGGAAACCGAAAGTGACTTTAACTTGTGTAGGCGCTTGAGCCAGTTGTTACGGTCTACACAGACGTCGAAAAAATTTCGGGCATCTAGATAGAGGTGGCGAAGGCCGGGTGCATCAAAACTCCAGTGCACAAGCTTCCGAGGCGGGGATCCACCATCGTCAACTTTACATTTGAGTTTCAATGTGTGCAGGTAAGGAGCCGTTTCCTGATGAAAGTCGTGGAGTATGGACGGCAATGATGAGCTGTACATCACGTTGAAGCGGATGCTTCTGCATCGCTCAATATGCCTAACGAGTTCACGAGTCGCCTTGAAGACTTTTGACTTCTCCTTCATATCAACTCCTTCAAATTCATCGCGATTTCTGGTGATGATAACATCTAGATGAAGATTTCTTGACCACTCGAAATAACGTCGAATATCTTGACTTTGTGTGTATTGAGAGTCAACCCTGATGACCACACGAGTCCAAAACTCTGGAACACACGATAACACCGAACACCACATCGAACACACTGCGGCCGGAGCGTAGGGGAACAATGATGACAGAGGATCGTTTAGTCTCCATGTCTCGCCAGTTTGAGTGAGACGACGAGACGACCGATAAAGATGCATGAATATTGCCAACAAAAGCTCGATGGGCAGGGCGCCTATAAAATTTCGTGGAGCGGGCGTGACTTGTGTAGAGTAGTAAATGGCGAACAGTGACTCATCGGGACGACAATCTTCATCGCTGGAATAAATTGAATTCGACGAATCAAGGAGCGCCTGTCATACGTCGTGGTTGGGTCAACATTGACACTTCCACAGGTGGCTGGGCGATGTTAACTACAAACTCACCTGGTTGGTCATGGCAGGAAATCGTAATCAGATCGGAGTAGTAGCATGTTTGTTCCCGCATTTCGGAGGCTTTGGAGTAATTGTTCACAAATTACGTAATGCAAAATAAGAGCTCGTCCCTTCCGAGAGGTTACTTGAACTTACTTCAGCAATGGCATTAACAACTATCCAACCCAATTCGACTGTCAGTACCTGTTCTTGGTCGGATGGTACGTTAGGCTGGGTCTATCATTTAACACCACTAGGCCTCGTTCCCTGGAACACGATATTCTCGAATCTCAAATTGCATGGCATTACTGAAACGTTGAGGCAACGGCTACTGGTAGCAGAAGAGTTTCGAATGAAAGCCCTTTTCACACAGTTTTCACAGACAATGGGCTGTTTCACCAACTCTTACTGGGTGAATCTTCCTTCCAGAATGCAACTGACTTTGTGTAAGGTCGATGCTACTGCATACTAATAAGATAAACCTGCTACCTCGGCACTTGCTGCTTATACCCATGATCCCAGCTACAGTGGTTGTGACCCAAGATACATAACCCTTGTAGCTGGGGTCGACAACATATTTTCCGCGTCATTAATGCTAGTGATGGCCCGTTCTCGAACGTAACATTTCTTTTGGTCTTCGCAGCACATTCATCTACATTCATTCACATTCTTGGCTTTGAAATGGATAATTGCGTGTCTCTCCGTTCTCCCTTTCGTTGTGGCCGCTACCATCTTAGGAACTTGGGATCTAGATTGGTCACTTCTCCACGAGGACCTTGAACATGTACTACAGGCTCATGTTTTGCCGTGGTCATTTGCGCTTCCTACTTCAGCGCTCAGCGTTCCTCGGTCCTACCAGGTGCTACGCTTTATCGTAAAATCAAACTTCTTCCATTCCACAAGCCTGTGCTTCTTTCAATAGGCTTGCAATGTCATTTACTGCACCTGAATCACTCACTACTTCTGAGTTTCGAAAGTTACCTGCACAGACCTGTATGATGAGAAGAAAGTGTGAACGTTAGCAAGTAGGGCAATTATCATAGGGCAAATTCGCAATTTTGCCATCACATTTTGTTGCTAGTACCACTGACAGAATTTATCTAGAGGATATTTCCTTGCGTGGAGCAATAGGTTGAGGAAGAACACTTTCTGTTATCAGTTCGAGGTTTTAAATTTGGTCGCTGTTGAGATTTTCCATGATGTCTTATTACCTGCAGCCGACCATCTTGAGAGATATCCACGCAATGTGGACCACCTTGAAGCGCTGTGAAACACAAGTGAATGATAATTCTTTTCACCAGGAGTCTAGGATTTTATGATCCAAAGCCATATAAATTAAGTGAAGGTGGATTCGAAACTTCCAGACCATCATTGTAACAGTTCTGACCTCCAGGGGCCTAATATGTACTGGAAAACAGATTGCTAGCGTCACCAAGAATAAACTCTATGCAATAAGTATCGATATCAAGTATGCAAAAATGCTAGATAGGCCCAAAATCAGTGCACTTAGTACATACTGTTGCAGCTAATGTTTACTGACCTGATACGTATTGCAAGTGCCCCATGATCAATATTCAATGATCACTCTATGTTGGCCTTTCGAAGCCGTCACGGACGGTGTTTGGGAGGTTTGGCATTGGGAAATATCATTGCCTGTTTAATCATTAAGAGGCAAATCTTCTTGTGACAGTTACGTAATGTCACAAATGCTTCGTCAGAGGTTTCACATCTGACAAGCCCCCTCACATGGGCGGCGACTGTCTGTAAACCAATGAACGCCTATCCGACTCAGTTCGATGGGCAGCTTGGAGCGTTAGACGGGTAAGTTTCAGTCGAGTGACGAGGCATGTTGTTGATTATGTTAAATGCCTCCTAGAACCCACGCTTCCCAGGAATACGCTTCTGAGTTGCATGACAGTGCTGACATGCTGAAGGAACAATTACGGGAGGCTAAATTTTGCGCTGATGAGGAGCGTAAAATGAAAAGTCTCGATGGGTTAATGAACACGCTCTTACTCTGCGTTAGTCTTTCGAACTTTCCTTCCAGGATGCCGCAACTAAACTCGGTATTCACTGGCAGGCGGGTGCTACTGCATTCATAAATAAATTTGCAACCATGCAGCACAACTTCCGCCTATACCACAGACACACAACCGTGGTAGCTGGGGTCAATGACGTCTTCCGCACCATCAGCAACGGCACGTTCACAAGTGGAACAATCCTGTCGGTCTTCGCAGCGCCTTCGTTCACGTCTTTGGTTCTACAAGGAGTGATGGACGCGTGTCTCTTCGTCCCCCCTTTCATTGTGGCTATCGCTATATTTGGGAAGTGGGTTCTAGGCCACTTCGCCACGAGTACGAGCGAGGACATCGATGTGCAAATGAGACGGCGACCAATGCACGACTGGCCTCCACATGTACGGGCCCGCGTCTTGTCATGGTCAAATGCGTTACCCGTTTTGTTTGCTCTTTCTCAAGCCCTCTGTACACTATGTTGGCTCTTTGGGCGGCAACCGCTCCTAGCAACTTGTGTCATTACGGTACTCGCTTTGTGGTGTTCGATCATCTTGTTCGTGTTGAAAAAGAATTTCACGCCCTAATTTTAATTGTCTGATAGCTTATTATTAATTTAATGGAGGCTGCGCTTAAATCCCGTTTGGCAGTCAGAGTTCTCTTCAGAGGGGAGACTCCAGAATTTCACCAGGAACTCTTGCAAGTATCCGTTTAGCCTAATGCTAGTGTACCGCATGTCAGTATTAGGGAGGGAGACTGACTTCAAGTATCTGAATGAAGGAAAAGTAAGGCCAACCGAAGGTCAATATTATCTCGAGTTCATGGGGGCACACCCATGAGCTCAGCTTAAGTTGGTTAGATTCGGGCGCTAAAGGTTACCGTTGGGCAACTGTTGAAATACTTTGAATAGTGTTTTGTGACTTATCACAATGTCATTTCCAGTACAGGTCGAGTCGATCCGGCTTATCGTCATCGATGCGTGAATGCTGGTCTTCCCTGAGTAGACAAATAACAGGAAGACAGATGTCCTTCCCCTGAATATTCGGTAGCATGTGTCACAAAAAGCTGTCTTGCCTGGAAAATCCGACAAGTTATACGAATAACATGTCCAACATGAGGTCCACTAGTGACTCCAAAGGACTCACTCTGATGCAAAAGAAGTCATACTTTAATTCCCCCCAGCGCAACTGCATGTGAATGACACTACTGTCGGCGTGATTGCATGATGGCGCCCTTAAAAAACAAGGTATGGGCTGATAAGTGTCTTAGTTGGATTGTTCTATCGGCCTAAGCGGGTATTCGCTGCGGCTTGGTCGCCCTATGCTGAGACTAAGGCCGTGCAAGCTTGTGTAACGAGTAACAGTTCGGTCTTGCTAGAGTGCCAGATAGCAAATCATTGAACTGAGGACTTGGATACACATACTTAACCTATATCAGTCAGTTTGGTCACCTCTAAAAAATGCATACCGAACATACCAGCTGGTCAGAAGTTAGTAGAACCTTCCTTCCAAGACTATTATTTGACACCTCAGCAATAGTCATCGATGATACGTCCAACGCCAGGTCATAGATCGAGTAAGGAAAAATGGCTACACAACGCCAACGGCGAAGACAAGAAGAAAACAAGTCCCCTGAGGCAGTGAGTGTGCCTGGCCGATTTCTGGTCACATGTAGGCTCCGTGATGTGACTTTGCCAGCAGCGCAAGCTTAGTCAGAATGGCGCTTCTTCTCAGGTTTCCTGATTTGGACGAAGTAAGCAGGTCAAGCGGCACTCCCTAAGTGCTCTCCCTTACAGTTTACCTTTGCTCTCAGATTGCTACTAGATTCTTTCACAACACACTGACGGCGCTCAGCGCCTCTGCTCTCGCGGGCTACCGCTATACCTTACTTCCATTAGCCATTAACCTCTTATCATGGCCTCAGATAAATCCACGCCGAGAAGGACAGTCGAGGACGACGAATCACGTCCATATATAATAGTCAGCGATATCGGAAAGGGAAGCTTTGCAACTGTCTATAAAGGATACCACGAGGTGCGTACCAGTTCCTTTGTTTATCTAGCTTTTAGAAACGATGTGGCACTTGCAGGAAACTCACCACCAGGTCGCCATCAAATCCGTGCGACGAGATATACTTACTGCAAAATTGTTTGATAACCTGCAAAGCGAAATTGAGATTTTGAAGTCATTATCTCATCGACATATCACAAAGTTGATTGACATTGTTGTGAGTGCCCCTGCTCTGTCTTCGCACATAACAATCCTGTACTATGCTGCGTCCCGAAAGCAGCAGAGCTACCTGTAGTCCTCTTTGGTCGTTCTTATATCTTCTCTCTTTCATCCAAGCCCATATCATGAATCACCCACCTGTTATCTTATACCGGTTTTCTAATCACCTTGTCTTTAGCGCGCAGAACGCAACATATACCTTATCATGGAGTACTGCGCCGGCGGTGACCTAACCAATTACATAAAGAAACGCGGTCGCGTAGAGGGTCTGGAGTACGCACCCTCACCAGGAGCTGCTCTTCAATATTACCCTCACCCGAGAACGGGCGGTCTAGACGAGATTGTCGTACGGAGTTTCCTGCGTCAGCTCGGTGAGAGATGGTAGTTCCTTTACTTTACGTTGATCTGATTTTTGTGAAGCTCGCGCTTTGAAATTTCTTCGACAGCGAAATCTTATCCACAGGGATATCAAGCCTCAGGTGTGTTCGTTGGAATAGAACCAAGGCGTCTAACATCTTATTGTATACAGAATTTGCTCTTGAATCCCGCATCGCCAGAGGAACTTGCAAAGGGCCACCCTTTGGGCGTTCCAATACTCAAGGTCGCCGATTTTGGGTTTGCACGGTCCCTCCCAAACGCTATGATGGCAGAGACCTTATGTGGTTCTCCGTACGTTCTCCTACTACTGTAATGGCTCCACTTGACCACCATAATTTGCAGTCTTTATATGGCTCCCGAAATCTTGCGGTACGAGAAATACGATGCGAAAGCAGACTTGTGGAGTGTTGGTGCGGTGTTGTACGAGATGTGTGTTGGAAAACCACCTTTCCGGGCCCAAAATCACGTTGAACTTTTGAAGAAAATCGAACATTCCAAAGGTGTCAAATTCCCAGACGAGGATCCTGCCCGTATATCTTCACATCCTTCCACTCCACCTACAATGAAGACAGAAGAGCCTACACTTGTTGCTATTGATATCAAGGACTTGATCCGTACCTTGCTCAAGCGGCAGCCTGCCGAGCGCTCCAGCTTTGAGGAATTCTTTAAGAGCAGAGCGCTCGCAAAGTCCAAGTTTCCTCGTCCTGCACCTGAAATGCAGGCGCAAAATACGACGCAAGTAGAAGACGAGGAAGTCGAGGAAATGCCCCCTGGACAGATTCCTGAACACCATAAAATCATTCCACCAGAAGTGCTTGATCCGAAGGCTATGATTCCACCCAGTAAGTTCCATTTCCGGAGAAGGGACACTGCAGTGGAGGAGGTATCCGCTATCCCTCTTCCGATTAGGTATGGGCTCTTGACATTATATTGGGCATGATGATCTGAAAATGAAACACTCAGTCCATCACCTGAGAGAACGCAGACGAAGACTACCAACATCAATCGAAAACAAACTGCTTCAAATCCGCCCCATCCTGAAGAGGAAAAGGCAGGCCCGAAACTACTTGTGATTGAAGGATCCATCATTCCAGGAGAGTCAGAGGAAGATGGTCTCATCCGGAAGGAGTACGTCCTCATCGACCCACGTACAGTCGAATCCACTCGTGTTGTTGATGGCGAGTCATGTTCCCTGCCATCGCTTTGTAAGCTGACCCATCCACTCAGAATCAAACAATGCACGACGACCGGTGCGGGATCAGCGTGTTCCCTTATCACCTCCCGCCGGCGAAACACGCCCGCCAAATCACACAGCATCATCACCATCGGGTTCACCGCTATCCGCACCAATACCAACATTCCCACCGCCTCCGCACCCTCTTGCCCCTCCACTGTCATCATCACCCACGCGCGCCGCTACAAACGCTTTGAGTCGTGCCCTCTCTCTCGCCTCTCGCAAGCTCTTTGGTGCATCGACGCCCAAATCACCTACTTCTCCCGGCTCCAACCACTACCACAGCTCTTCGTCACCTCGACGTCCACAACTTATTCTTCGGACTCCCTCTGAAAGGGAGACAGAAATAAACCCAATGGAAGACGAGCTTCTTGCGTATCTAGAAGAACTTGCGCAGAAGACAGATTTCCTCACGCAGTGGGCCGATGAGCTGTATGAGTGTGTCAAGGCTGCACCTCAGAGTACGTATCCCCTGCCCTTTTGTATGCTAAACTAACCCTTTTGCAGAGCCACTACCTGATCCAGCGAAGTTTTCACGACGCGAAGGCGAGCCTGAGAAACTTGCGCAACGGCGGCAAAAGGCAGATCGAGAAGCCGAATCCGATGCTGTGACAAGCGTTGCCGTCTACTTGCTCCTCATGTCTTTCTCGCAGAAAGGGATCGACAAGCTGAGGAACTTCCAAGAACACCTACGGATGCGCCACCCTGATGGTGACTTCGAAGTGAGTGAAGGGTTCAACGATGGTATGTTCTATCTCCGCCTTCAGAATGCAGGACAGTGCTTACGTGGTGGACGAAGCTCTGTTGTGGTTCAAGGAGCACTTTATCAAATGTAGTGACCGAGCTACACTGGTGAAGACGTGGCTCCCGGTGCAATATAATGGCCCTAAGACATACCTCGAACAATCGGTCTATGATCGTGCCCTGTTTCTCGTACGCACTTACCTTTATATTCCGGACTGACGGTATTCATAGCCCATTTATAGAGTCGTACCGCAGCTCGTAGGGAACTCCTCGACCAAGCACCAGATGAGTGCGAGAAGTTATACGAGGCATCGCTATGGTGTCTGTATACACTGCAAGATGACCTTCAGACTGAGAATCCTTTTGTGGATGAGGACCGTGCTACCATCGCAACTTGTGCGGCATTTGTTTGTTTGTGATATATACCAACTTGAAACTGACAACACGTTAGGGATCACGCGAACAAAGCTTCGTCTTATTCGGTGTCGCGCACGCATGGGCATGAACCGCAGAGATCGGTTACGGGACGCACTTGCTGATCATAATCTCGTGGATGCCCGGGATCCCCCACCATGGGACCCTCAGGCGGTACAGCAGGTGCAGCAGCAGCAGCTCCAACAAGAAGCTGCTGCGTCACAGCCATAGCGAACATGTTGCAATGTAAACTGGTTATACTAGTGATACTTTGGTTAGTGTCCACTGTCGTTTAGATCCTCTCAGTTCTTTACCGGGCATCTCTATACCCTACTCTTTTGTTATTTATGCATCATCCACACGAACATCTTCTACACTGCTGTATTTTAAATGGTATTTTATGTATTACATGCCATTACCCGTACATTCATATGAACAGAATTTCTGTATTCCCTTGTTGATGTTTTATTGACTGTCATACGTCTACTAATAGGACAATGCGTATGGCTGCCGACTGAAGTATTTCGTGCTATCACCAATAATCCGAGAAGCGGGTACGCAGTACATGGTGCAGAATGGAATTAGACTAGCTAAAACCACACAAGACATCAGTCGTGTGCGTGAATAATTCGTGTCCTGATAAGTAGCTACAAAATAATGACCTACAGAATATTTGGAATAGGAAGAGGCATGCTTGAACGAAAGGCTACATGGAAACGAGGTGGTGGGAAGGGTTGCTCAGCTGCAGCTTGATGCACTGAAAGGGGAATTGACGGAAGGTCACTATAAAGCGAGATAATGCGCAATGACGAATGCTGTGCCAAGAAGAAGTTGGTTTAACATAAAGATGTTTGGTAATGGTTTGAGAAACAGCATGAGCCAGCTCGATACGAATGGCGACGGCCTAAAGAAAAATTGCCTCGGAGACTTGCGACGAGATGATATATCAAGGTAGAGCCCGTTGCGACCAATGAAGAGTTTACCCAGTATTGCGAGGAATGTGAAGAGACAGCTTGATAGGACGCTGGTCTGTACGAGCCCGCGGGAGAACGTGTAAAGAGGCGTTTCAGGCGTTTGTGCCAATAGGCGGAGAAAAATATCGTTCATTGCCTTATCGTTCGTGATTTCAACCAGTTTCTGATAAAGTTCATGTGTTTTTGCATCCCCAAGCGCTGCGAAAGCGGGTAACCGCAAGTACGACATGCTCATTATCATAAATATCACAGCCTAGATTTGTGATCAGGGTATCCAGACTTGTTTCAATGACTTGGACTTACCGTGATTAGCATCCAGTCAAGTGAGACAGCAAGCCTGTCGAGAACAACCTCGGCGGGGTCATTTATAAGTTCTTCGTTTGCCAGATTATCTTTGATCAAGTCTTTAATCCGTTCCAAACATGCAACAAACTCTTCCTGCGTCGTGGCGTCGCAAGATTTGCGAGAAGGGATTTCTTGGAATTGAATTTGAGACCTAAGTGGATAAGGAGTTAGAAGAAAGTAAATTATGCCAGCAGGAGATTGGGCTTTCCTGTCATCCTTTTCTCCAGGTGATGATTTGCTTGAAGGATTGTCTGTGTGCAAGGGCTGGTACGTTCTCTGCGACATGGCAATATTGGCTGTGGAATGACTACGTCACGGTAGTTGTACAAGTTGACGCTAATATTTCCGCTAACGTAGTTTGAAACCCACCTATCTGCGGATTCAGATTTAGGAGTTTCGATGAATATATCGAGTTTTGTGACAATTGTTACTTCCCACGCCCGGATTTATTCCTTTAGCCCAGTAATTTCAAATTCAAACCCGCCCCATACCGCCCATACTATGACTGTCAAAGGTGTCAGCTGCCATACAACCTAAAACCAGGGTACTAGTAATTCAGTAGGTGGCCAACGAACATCACATTAATGAGCCTCATGCTGATGGCATTAAATCCTAATACAATGTAGCTGTGCAAATTGACTCGAACACGAGGTATGCATATCTGCTATTAGCTAAGGCTGAACTGACCCAGTAGTTTATGGCAATTGCAAACCACACCTGGTGTCCTTCTGTGCTCTATATGCCGCATACTCGATATTTTTTGTTCGCTTGCAGGGTTCATCAGATGGTAAGGATGAAGAATGATAATCCCCTTGGCTTGGCAGACCAGCGGAATTCATCCGACGTCTTGCAGGCTTGACCGGAATGCGGAACTTGGAGTAATATCGGATGCTTCAGGCCCATGTTCCGTCCCGATTCTCACTCCATTGATTACTCCAATGCACACAAGTCCAGGTGAAATAAATTTGTTTGTTGCCTTATCTCCGACATTCCGCTCCAACTATCATCTCTCAGAAGAAATCAGCTTGGCATAGGCAGGAAAAAGTACGCGGGTACCTTGAGCAGCAGGATGGTGCGTGTATTAAACGGGGATTCTCTAAAGACATTCCTTGATGGGGAAAGACAGGCTTTGTGACATTCCAGAACATGATCAGTCACCCACCACGGTTCAAATTTTCCATCAACCACTAGCAAATATTCGATCAAGTACTGCGGCACCAAATGCATCACCGCATTTTTCGGTCTTCGGTGTCGCAGTAGCTTGGTCAGGTCACCTGTCACTTCCCTGCCATCGATATATGCGACTACTGTGCATTATTCACTGCCATTCACTGTCATTCTGCTGTCCCCCGGAGTGCGCGTCACGCAGGAAGTTCTCATGTCTGGTTCTGAATCTCGCCAGGCAGTGTTCCCCACTGGACTCTTGCGAAATCATCCCAATGTCACAGTACTATGTTGAAAGTCTCGGGTCAGACGCATAGAGACGATGATGCCAGGCTCTGGGGACAAACATGAACATGTCAATCTTCTGTCCACTCATATCAGGAACATGGGCGGGCACCCTACTTTTGGATATGGTCACTCAATACGATATTGCTGGATGCGCAGCGGAACCAAGCGGATTTCAATTACGGACAAATGCCGAACCAATTTTTGAAATTGTAATAGCTTTATCATATACCAGCCATCTTCGCGATGCCAATGATACCATCTGCCAATACTGACTCTTAAAGTCCCATCACTCCCATCCGCTTATTCACTGGATGTGCCTTAAACCTAAGGCTTCCTGAATTATCCCCTTCTCCACAAAGTTGTACTGGTCAGTGTGGTGTTGTATTTCTTGCAACCTCAGTTTGCATGTCCACTATCTATGTGGGAGGCGCCCCGAGTCTTAACGCCCCTCACAAAAAACACAGAACCTCATCTTGGTTCCTAATGAACAGTCGGGATCAACCTTTTCATCCCGAATATCCTGTTGAGGGTCATGATACGCCACATTTCTTGGATCACTACTTTGTGCATGTGCCATTGAACCTTCCTTCCTTCACCAATTACAACGTGAGGACAGCGTAGCATTGTGATGCCCATGCCATTACCCACACCCAGAACCGGTCCCCAATTGCTACAGTTGCAGATCAGTTGCAACGGATAGCTATTACTATTAGGCGTAACAACATGGAGGATGAGGCATCGTACCAACGAAGCAAGTACACATGTGTATCTTTCTGTCATAGCAGGAAGCCATTAGCTCAAAAACAATGATAGCAACAATCAAAGATACACGAACGAAGACCAGGCATGATTGCGTGGTATATGGGTATGAAATAAGTCTGAGATCAAGTCAGCATGTAGATTTGGAAGGTCATGAGATGAGATCGTGAAAGTCAAACATCGTCGCGAAGGTACAGCACACACTCAGCGACGCTCCGAATCAAAGAACGCCACAAGCTGTCCTACAGGAACCTTCTTTCCTGGCCCCACTAGAGGCTTCTCCTTACCCCTCTCCGTTTTCCCCCGTCGCAGAACAAGTGGATCCACAAATTTATTGGCTTGATCGCCACCAAAAGTGCTATCCGATCGGAAGTCAATGGACTGCGATCGGAAACGGTGTTTTGACTGCGCAGACACCGCTTGGTTGCTCTGCAATGGATTCGGGTACCCATTATAGGTGGACTGCGCGCGCGTACGATTACCCGGGCTGTTATTCGCAGGCGTAGCGCTCGCCAAATCACCGTTGCCGAGTTTGGCAGCAGTCATCGCACGGAATGCAGATTTCTTCCCCAACGTCTCGTCTGCGGCATTTTGGTAATCGTCGTCATCGTCTTCACTGCTCTCTGCTGTAGAGAAAGACGCCATGCCGAGGCCCGAACGTTCGCTCCCGTAGTCAAGCTCGGTTTCAGGGGGCGCTACGATGGGTCCACCGAGAGCGACGGTGTATCGCTTACGCGCTGCTTGCATAGGCGAAGGACTCACGCTGCCTCGATGGGGGCTGTGCATGCTGGGAGCGGGCAGGCCACTCAGACTAGGAGATGGCGCGCGGACAGGTGGAGTGATTGCGGCGGGGAGTTCCAGCGGACTGGACAAAGCTGGTAATCCGGAAATTACCATTGATGCAGGACGTGCCGGTAGCGGAGGCGAGCTGGCTGGAGTGTGAGGTGGGGATATTAGTTCTCCCGGGCTAGTGTAGTCGCCTGTTGGATATGGAAGACGTGTCCTGCTCGCTGACGGTGTACGACGGGTGGACACACGAGCGAGGGGTGGACTTGTCGACTCGCGGGCTGTAAGGGATGGTACTCGGCGAGGAGTGGAGAGACTGTAGATATTTTCTAGAGTTGATGTGGTATTGGGGGATGAGAATTCGGAGATTGTAGTGTCCGCTGCGCTAGAAAAGGTAGGTTCATGAGGGCTGACGATGGATGACTCCACCGGAGGAGGGGTGGTGCTCATGACTGGCGAGCTACGAATGGCGCTGTTAGACGAGAGAGTGGCAGGTGATGTCGCAAGGCGGGTCATCTCTCGGCCAAGCTCCGACATTCGTGACTGTAGCTCAGTGACGTCTCCTTGAATAGCAGCCAACTCAGATTTAGGAGAGGGTTTGTCGTTGTTGGAAGATCCCCCCTCCTTGCTGCATTGGTTTTCCTTATCGACCAGCCAGCGCTCGACATCACCCATGCGTTCCTCGAGTGCACGCACGTGGGTGACGCTCCACCTCTCAAGTTTCTCAAAACGCTTTGCAATCAATAGCAGTGTACCTGGTACATCCAGAGTACCCGAGGGTGTGAACGAGGCGTAAATTGGAGGTGGTTCACGTGCAGGCGAACCGCCAGGAGAAGTCCCTCTCTGAATCGAGGCGGGCGAGAGGTTTATTGGAACTTGTGTGACACGGGCAGGAGAGAGGTTGACGGGTGTTCGAATTGGAGTCGGGGAGGTAGGAGACGACGTGCGAGCGGGAGGGCCACCCGGGGGTATCTTCAGGTTAAGGTAAGCGGGGTTGGTATATTTGCTTGCAGAACAGGCAGGCCATTCGTTGTCCTTTCCTTTAGCACTCTTCGTTTCCTTTTCACGAGCCTTAGTTTCTTCTATGACTTGCTGAGCTGGAGTGAGTGGTTCTTTATCTTTTGTAGGAGTCAAGCGTGCTTTGGCGGCTGTCCACCAACTGGGGCTACTGTCCTTCTGAGAGTGCGCAGGAGAGGGAGGATTTGGTAACGTGTGTGACCTACTTCGAGGAGGGGGAAGTGACTGTGGAGAACTATTCATCATAGAGAGGACACGTTCCTCCATGGCTCGCCTTTCTTCTGCTTCCCGTGTGAGGATACGTTCGGCTTCTCGTCGACTTCTGTCGCGCTCTCTCTGAGCTTCAGCTTCTAATTCGTCATCAGACGGAAGAGGTCTGCCTGTTATTGAAGGACTGATGAAGGAATTGACACGGTTTGCGAGGTTCGCAGCGAACTGAGTGACTGAGGTGGACGTAGGCGACCGGCTGCGTGGCCACGTGAGATCTTGGTCTTCTTCATCGTCATCATCGTCATCATCTCCGGAGTGGCTTTCATTTGAGAATCTTCTGTGAGTGAATTCATTACGAAGGGGCGATGGTGGCCGCCGGGGTGATCCTGGGGCGTGCCCGGGATGGCCATAGACAGGTTCGGGCTGAACAACACATTTAGTCGCCTACTCAGCAGCAACAAAAAATCAATAAGCGATACCAAGTTCAATGATGTTGGAGGCGGTAGTGCTGAAGCCGTCATGCGCCGCTGATGATCAGGCTTGGGGGAAGATAGGGCGTTGAGATTGGCGAGACTGGGTGACAAAGATGTGGAGGATGCGGTGTTAGAAATTGAGTGCGATGAAGCGGCCTGGGAGGCCATGATGAACGGTGGGCTAATGAGGCGTGCTCGCCGTCTCGGCCGACGACGAGAGTCCTTCGGTCACGGTTGAACTTTTGGACGATCAATTGAACATCTGCATGCGTGAGAAATAGGTACCATAAGGGGGGTCAGCATTTAATCAGTGCTGCGATTTACGCAATTTATGCGAAAATAATTTTTAGCACTGAGTCTGGACTAGCTGGGTTGTTATAGAGAGGAATCATTTCGAACTTTGCAACAATCGGTTTGGTGCAACTCTCAGAGAGAGAGTTAATTCCATGATATCGCAAACATGGACTCGAGACGCGCCGAGACGTACGCCTACTGTTTTTTATCTGTTATTTTTGTGATGTATTTGGCCAACTTATTACTCCTTGGACAGGCTCGAGGCGCTGTCCGCCTACATACAAACTCAGAAATCTCTGTTGAGTCGTGCAGAGGCAGACATAGACAGACTTAGGAAGCTCAGGGCAGATGCCCTTAGCCAACCGAAGGCCTTCACCGAGAATATCGGTTCGAAGGTATGCAGTTTACCGCGCGGTTAATAGCACATCCTCCCTTATTATTTTACAGTTCAACAGCCTTGGTTTGAGGTGGTCGGAAAATAATGAGTGTTCCGTATCTCCCCTTGCGAACGAGGTTCATTGGCAGGTCTTCTCCTCGGCTGGTAGGGATTTTGTCTTTTCATTTACCTTCCTGCAATCTTAAATCCCGTCTTCGTCGCAGACCCTACACCTTTACGAACTTTTGCAGTCCGAAAGCGTCTCGCACACACGGAATGGAGCGTGCCGCACACCACTCAACACTCCCCTCTTTCTGCCCTTCAACAATTCGTCAAAGATGCACGGCGAATCATCATTGACCCCGTCTTGGGAAGCTTAGACCCTGAAAACGCACTCTATCTTACGTCTAATTCTAATCTTACCGCATCTCCATTCCATGCTAGTCTCGATCAGCCTACGTTATCCGAGGACGAAGGCATGGAGGAAGAGAAAGAAACAAAATTACCTCCCGTCCAAGAATCCTTCACAGCTACGCGCAGGCGTGAGCGTGCACATGCGAAGATACAAAAACTCAAAGAGAGAAAGATTTCGTATAACGCTGCCACTGAGAATGCAGAGGTGGCTGATGCAGTATTTGTCAGGAATGATGTAGATGACGAGAGTGGGGAGGTTGATATCAGCGAGAGCATACTATGGCCATCAGGCAACGACAGTACATCCATTGATTCCACAAGTACGACTGTTCCATCTACCCCATCCACAATAGCACCACCAGAGCCTGCTCAGCCTTTACCATCATGGTCCAAGAGACGGACTTCGACTATTAATCAACGCCTTGTCACACAGCCTGACAGCCTCAATCGATCTTCCCGTTCGCGCAAACCCCTCCAGCCTCAGTCACTCGACAATAACCTGGAGGCCAGCGCCGAATCCATGTCAATCACCATCCCCCCTCTTTCTACTCTCGGAAAACGGTCTCGTAACTCAACTGACGTCAAGAATATCAACCACAAAGTTAAAGCCGAGCCGTCACCACCCGCACCAGAAGCAAAAGCATATACAGACAAGCCAAAACCCGAGACTTATAAGCAGGCATGGTCAATATCCGAACAACACCTACTTGAACGGCTCCTCGAGGAGATTCCAGATGGTGAGCGCAATCGGTGAGCGTTGATCTTCTCGTCTGCTTAAAAGACTCAAACCGTCATAGATGGGCAAAAATCTCGCAAGCCATGGATGGTCGCCGGACACCACGCCAGGTTGCGAGTCGCGTTCAAAAGTATTTTGAGAAGTTGAAACGCTTTGGTGTTGGGGTTGAAAAGAAATCAAAAACAAGTTCTAGGAGTTAATCTTTCTGTGTGCGAGATATGCAGTCTTAAGTTTATTGGGAGATGTCGCAAACATTCCATTGAACGATACATAATAAAGAAGGAACAGACAGTTACCGCCATTCTACTGGGTTTAAGGATACTGAGCACTTTGAAAAAGACTATGCACGTACTGGTACACGCTTGTATGCCAACTTATTATTGTCTTTGATAAGATCGCAGTCACACGACTTCTTCGGAGGTACTTAGCCTCATTCGTCACTACTCAGTACTCATCCGCGAACCGCAGTAATTTTTCTCACCATCTACTCCACAATACTCCTAGAATTGCCTAGAAATCGACCTTTCAAGTCTCAGAAACATAATGTCGACTCAAAGCTTTGATCCCAACAATGCTCAGAATCTCATCGAGGTAGACCAATCGTCTCCACACGATCTTCCTGTGCTCATCATTCGTTCTCTTTGCTTCATGGGAGCGTAGATAGAGAAGCAGTGAGTGCCGAAAGACACTTGGGCGTCTAGCGCAGATTGATCTATGCCAAACTCGTCAATCTCCGCAGATTTGCAGTGAAAGCGGTCGAACATGCTCAGGTGCGAGAGTGTCGGGCTATTCAGCCTTTCACTGCAGCTGACACCATTATGATTGGGTAGACATACTGGAACCTGCTCGAGAAAGTTCATCCGCGTTCACTCAAATTGACAAAGTGAGGCTCTTCTATTCGAACCACACAGCGGCTCATTTGAGTGGACAGGCTTGACGACGAGATATACGAACATACCATGTCGACGTTCCCTGAGTTCAATGAGGAAAATCATGCACATCTTGTCAGGCTTGACGAGGACTGGCTCAAGAGCGACATTGGAAAAAAGAAGTGGAGAGAGTTTTGTCAAGTGTGAGTGCTATCGGTATGTGTTGAGACAGCTGACAGCTCGACCCAATTACAGGTATGAAAAAAAAGTGAAAGATTACAATTTTGGGTCTCTCATCCGCACGGATGCAAGGAAAGAGTACGGGGAGACAAACACCATCTTCGGTATTCCCAGTATTCTTTGTTGATGTCCCTGATGCGAACCTCATGACGTCTAGTCACACGAATACAGTTCTACGCTATTGAGGTGAGTTTAGAATCACCCCAATCACCGATGATCTTACGGCTTTCTTCACTAATAAAAACTTTCTTCGTATGCCCCTAGATTGCCCGGAATCGGCTGGGACTAAATGACGGAGCACATGAAATTGCCAAGGCAGATGCCGAGAAGGAGAGGTTGAAGAAGGAGAAAGCAGCGAAGAAAAATGGCACATCATAGCAACATCCTCGCAAGGCTATGTACTGTTTCTCCTCAATATTGTGTAGCCTTTGTGAGTAACTCGTCCTCTAACAATGAGTACCCCTTGACGAACATCATCCAGAGTAGTTTATTAGAAGTCATCACATTTTTGCGGGATTTTCCAGGCCCGGGATGTCTGCTTGTTCATATGCATCAGATGATGCGTAATTCTTTCGTTCCTCGGTGGCATCCAAGTGCCTGACTTATCTACAGCCCAACGACGCCCATCTGGAGCGCTATTTATGCTTCCGTCCACTCTACTTCCACGCCTGTCATGACACCGAGCAAGCACTGCAGTAAATACCTTGGAGTGCCCGGCAGCCACAATAATATGTTTCAATCGATCGTCACCCCTCTTTCTCATTGTTTCACCTTTCTCCACTAATTTACAGCCCAGCCCTACTGCAGCCCTCCTCTAGGTCCACGACAAATGTTTATGCTTTGTACCCCAAGAGTCATGAAAGCTTACTATACGGCAGTTGCCTTACCCTGCTGGCATGAGAAAGAGAAGCTCATCTCTGACGGGATAATGTCGAATGACGTCGTTGCAAATCTCTCATACATCATATTCCATCGCGCTACTGATACGAGTGCTGTGGCCTACGTACGACGAATGCATCGCTGCATTCAGTGAGTGCCGCTAAGTAGTACTCCATCTTCTGTGACTGCAGACAGCAGGGGATCTCCAGCAATGAGGTCCCCGACGTGAGGGGGAACCGCGTGAATCAGAGAGGATAACGCCAAGTACGACTCGTGTACGCACCTTGTGAGCCCGAGTTTGTGTCGTTTTTCTAGTTAGACTTCCGATGTAGTCTTATGAATGATAAACGTGAAACCTACGACTTCCGTCACGTGATGTGACAGACCGCGTGTTACTCATTCGCGTCGAGCATCGCAACTCCTTCTGCTCAGCGTCAAAGCACTCGCCCATGGATAACGATGTCGTTTCTATCCACTCGTCCCATGAGTCCGGCCTGGAAGAAGTCGACAGAAGAGCTATTCTCGAGCCCGTCGTCCAACGAGTCGTTGATGCACTTGGTGGTTACGAAGGTGGTGCCTACCGTATGGGCGATGAAGTCAGCGGTTGTCTCCGAGATCTGAAGAAACTCTGGCGAAAGGACGACACGGATGACGAGCGTACGGTCGCGCGCATATTTTGGGAGACCCGGGTCCTCCCAAACGACCTTGTACCGATACTGTTGGCAACTGCAGGCAAGGGACTTGTAGAAGACAAGCGCGCCATCGCATGTGCAGACTTAATGACTGCCATGACCTGGCCAATTGACATGGCGGAAGAGCTGCAGGAGCTGGATGAGGAGCTTGATAAAGGGACGGACTATACCCAGCTAATGTTCAGCCACCTCAATTACAAGGCTGCACTTCTGAAGCCAGGCGTCATGCAAGCTCTCTTTGGGATTGTTCTCCCCCCAATTTCAAAGCCTGCAAAGGAGAGGAAGGAGCGCGACGGACAGATAGTGAATCTGATTCTGCATCTCATCCGGAACTTGATATTTATCAAGGACCTCCCTGCAAATACGCACCTGAGCGCGGACCAGGTGGAGTACTCGAGTTTGCAGACTAGACTTGTAAAAGTACTCTCGGAGACACACACGCTGGACTTGCTTCTGACCATTGCTGCCAATACGTCCAATGATCCTCTTTTCAACGCATCAAATACTCTTGTACTCGAGATATTCTATTTGTTATTTCGCGGCGTAAAACCTCATCTACTGGCCGTAGACCAGTCAAAAGTGAAGTTCCTTCCTATTTTTGTTTGCTGCATCCTGACGCCACTCCAGCAACCAGCGCAAAACCTTCATCGGCTGCTTGCTGCAGAGGACAAGAAAAAGAAAGACTTGGCAAGGAATGCATCTTCACGGCACTCCCGTTTTGGGACAACTATTTCCGTGCAGCTTAGGCCGGGCAAGAAACCAGTAGCTCCAGATGTAGACACCGAAGGTCCAAACGATCCAGCCTCTAGTTCTAGGCCGCTAGTCCTTCATCGCCAAGCAGCTATCACACGAGAGTCTGGAAACGTTCTCGACTTTGCCAAGCGTTCTAAAGCTCGCAAAAGCAACAAAATTGACGAATTAGCCCGCGAGGACAATCTATCCGTCGAAGCCAAGATAGTCCTTCAGGGTTTTGCTCGCGAGTCTGTGGAGTCATCGTTTAATCGTTTGTATAGTCAGTTTCCATACTCCCAGTCCTCCTCATTCTCTCGGCAGCGTTCCTCCGCTCTCTGCTCAAGGACATCAAGTCCGAACGCCCGAAGATCAAAGAAAAAGATCATCTTCGGTTGCTCTACGTCACGAAGTGGTACCTTGAATTTTTCCTGACATCCCGGTCCAACGAAAAGGCGGCCGAAGGACAGCGAAAATGGAACCTCGGGCTAGTGGCGGAAGTTACCGACCGTGGGTGGATCATTTGGGTCTTGAAGCGGATGAGACAAGCTATGGATGAAAAGGTATTGTGAAAGTCAAAGCTATCACCTGTTACGGTCGCTGGCTCACATTAGCTTTTTTTTTTCAGCCGAAAATGTGGAATGAGCTGCAAGCGGGAATAGAGTGCCTTACTCAACTCCTTCTCCTGATCGACGTCATGTCTTCGTCGGTAATCTCCGACCCTCAGCTCAATGAGGCTGCAGCTGTTTTACAACAACAGTTGATTTATAATGGCGACGTTCTTGACATTTCACTTGAAAGCCTTCGATCTTACAAGGAGGGGACGCAATCACTAGCCTATCTCAATGCCAGTGTGCACCTCGCTTACGCATTGCTACGGATGTTGGAACGGTGGGGGAAAGAGAATACTGGGGCAGTGTACGTCAGGAAAAAGAAGCCGGGTAAGAGGAAGACCACGGGTAAGCCATACATTTTCCACCTTCAGTGTCATTTTAAGTTATCGCAGGTCAGGGACTACTAGCTGATGAAGACGGGGTGCCTGACGTTGAGAACGAACCTGATGGGGATAGCGAGGAGGAGGTCGTCCACGAGACAATGTTCACCTTTGATGCCTTCGAAATGGTGTGTCGCATGATCGAAGCGGAACATTGAATGACAGTTGGTTGATTGATGTGCAGAAATTTGCAAACTCGGCGATAACGAAGACCCTTCTGACATATCTTTCGCGTTACAGGGACTTCGATTCCCCTGAGTTCATGAAGAGGGTGGTCAACTTGATCCACCGACAAGCCGTGAAAGCTAAGGCAGAAGGGCTATATTTCAACGTAAGTTGTCATTATGTGTTGATTGTTTCTTGGTATACAAGTTCTTATAGGTTTCGACACTCCATCTATTCAAAACGATTCTCGATGATCAGAAGTCATTGCCGAAAGACCAGTCGTCCAAGGACCTTGTGAAATTGGTCAATTTCATTTTGCACAGGTTCTTCAAGGCGTTGCAAGGAGAGCCATTCCTCGCGGTTGAGGTGAGGTTTTCATTTTTGTTATCTCACGTACTAACGCTCAATGCTTATCTGTCTCAATCTGAATCAGGCATTCTTCCCCAAGAACCGCGGACACTGGAAACTGTACTCGAGCTGGGAACCGGAACGCAAAGGCCGCCATGAGCGCGAGATAGTAGAAGATACCAACTTCCCTCCCGAGGTGCAAGTGAAGAAGGGTTACTCGTGGAGCGAGCAAATCGGGATTGCGATAGCGGCCCTAGTAGACGATGGAAAGACCGAACTTATAGAATGGGTCAAAGACGTTCGTAATCATATCAATCATCTTCACCGAATGACTCTGATCATGTTTCAATTGTAAAGATATTGGTGCTAGTCATTCGTCAACGCAATAAGATTATCGAGGGGACGGATAAAAAGCCCAAAGACGGAGACCCCGACCTGGACGACGATGAACAGAAGAAGTTGACTCCTTCTGCAGAAGCAATCTCCAAATTTCTCGATTACTGTAGGTGATTCTGGATAACTTTTACTCTGCGCTAACGCCTTTTCAGTAATACCATATATCAGCGATGAACATGCGGAAGCCGCAACGAAGAACTCGATATTGAAGCTCATGTTTCGACTGTTAAAGTTCACCATTTATGACGACGGTTCGTTCTTTCGCGAACTTTTGAGCAGCGGCCAGCTGATCAGTTTATAGATGGTGACGAGTTACAGTGGGCTGTTCCAGCAGTGATTCCTCCTTCTGACCTGCTGAGCAGCATCAATGTCATTGATCAATTCCTCCAACATCCCATTGACCTTGACGGCAAGAAGGCTTCAGAGCTCATGAGCAAGAAGTCCCGCCGGCGACGGAGACGACGATCACCCTCTAACTCTGACGTCGAGCTTATTGACGATAACGAGCCCAAGCGCAAGAGACGGGAGAAGAAAAAGAAGGAAGAAACGCAATACAAGTCAGCACAGTTCATTGAGGACAGTGATGCAGAGTACGGGGATATGGAGGCCTTCCTCGAAAGGGAAAAGGCATTAAGAGATAAAGCTGTCATGGCAGCCGCACAAAGTGGCAAGATCGGAACCATGCGAGCGACGGGAACTAAAAAACGGCGGAGAAAAGGTAAAGATGTTGAGGCTAGGAAGCAGGGTAATGTGGGGAACCCCGAGAATCAACCGGCAGGAGAGTCCAGTGCCGATGAAAATGTCTCAGACGGTGAAGATGACATCCTCGGGGCCATGCGGAGAAGTCGCTCCAGTACACCAGAAACTCCCGCACCTAGGACGCGCCCAAGACCGCGGCCGGTTCCAAAACGCTCTGCAAAGCGATCAATGTCAACGGACACCGTGAGCGAGGACGATGCAGGGATGGACTTGGCGGGCGTTCGACATACCGGGACGGGGCGGTTGGTCCTTTCTGAGGATGATGAACTGTAACAGTCCATCCGTCATGACCCCATGCCGTCATTCCGTTCATATGTAGTACTGATTTATCTTCATGTTTTGAAGTGTTGCACAAATGCCTATTAAATGCATCCCAGGGGCTGGTAAAACGGTAATTTATTCACCAGTGTTTCTCT